CAAATACACATATGAAATAGAAAAACAAAAATACCCTACTTCACTCATATATTTAATTAACTAGGTATCTATGAATAATATTTTATAAATTAAGTTTAATTTATAAGTCAACAAAAAATATTTAAAGTTAAACTTAATTATTATGTTTTTCAATTAAAATATTTTAAAACATAACATACATAACACATTAATATCTACATTATAATATTTACCAAATTACCACATTGTATATTGTTCCCTTAGGTATAATACCAATACTTGTATGGTTTTTTTTAATACACTTAAACATATTTTTGGTATTGATTTTTACTGGACATAAGTAAATTATCTACTAAGTAAAAGTTAACTCTTTTAGTATGATATGACAAAACAAAAAGAAGTATACCTAACCTACCAAAAATTACACAGGTAACTGTTTCAAGAATGGCCACAGAAATGGTATAAAGAATTGCATTAAATATATGAAATAAACAATAATATTTTATTTTAATGATCTTCATTAAAAATTTAATTACACCTTTTACAAGACAATTATGTTATTTTTAATATTAAGAGGTAGCACCTATTACCTACCTTACCGTATTTTTGTGACTGTTTTTTAGCAGTAAATAAATTATGGTATTAACTTATTAAATATAAACACCATCTATTAAGTAAATACATTACTAAGTACTTATTTTTTTAACTTTCAACTGCCAGATTTACTTAAAATACAACAATATTTTTACCATCATTATTTGTATAGGTACATAATTACACAGATAATATAAATCGTATAGTATTGAACTGTGTTTACCTTCATGTTTCATACAGATTTAACAATACTAAAATTGTAAAATATTATATGTCCAATAAAACTGGTTTTTTCATTGTCGGAGTAAGTAGTCTTAAATATAAAATTGCTCTTAGGCATTAAATATTTAAATTATTTGAATAAATTACAATAGTTATATAATAGGTATTTAAATTGTGTTATTTAATGAGCATGACAAATATTTTTAAATAAATCCATTGAAATTTAAAAATTTCAGTGATTAAATAATATTCAAACATTTAATTTTTCACAATCATTGAATTATTAAAAGTAGCATGTCATGTCTTAGTACTTACAATTTTTTTTAGTCTTAACAATTTTAAAAACTTTTTAGATCAAAAATGTATTTTAACAAACAACATTCTTATCATACTATTCAATTAGAATAACAATCATCATTAATATACTTAGATAATAACAAAATCCAAGTATAATAAGTAGACTAGTATTTTTAAACTTTTGATACCTAAAATTTCTTAACCACTTCCTAGAACATCCAATAACATAAATGTTATTGTAATAATGAGAGTTTTGGTCAAAGAATTTGAAATGTGTAAAAATGCAGTTTAAAATACAATTCAAAATCTAAATTGACCTAAAAACAAAAAAAAAAAATGCAAAGTATGATATTAAAAATTGGATTTGTTACAAACTTAAAAGTATTATAATAAGCTAAAATATATGCATTTTACTATAAATTCCCAACTTGACTACCCAAACAAACATTTTTTCTAACTTATCATTATGAATAAAATAAACATTAAAATTTATATTATTATTTCCATTTTTAAGCATAAATTTACAAAAATTTGGTCATTGGTAGAATTAAAGATTTTAATCTCTTTTGATGACTATATCTACGACCTTTTTTGTGGATGACACATAAAAAAAATTAAATATCAAAAGGCAGTAATAACTCAGAATTGAAAAAATCGACATGCTGCCTTTTTTGTTGAGGCAGTCAAACCATAAATTGTTATAGAATGTGTAATATATAATATTTAACATTGTATGAGTAAATTCAAATTTAATTAATAGTTAAAACAAATATTAAATAATAATGTACCTAGCTTATAAAATATGTTTATGAAGTAGGTAGTCACGCTTTAAAAACTTTAATATATTTCTAGATTTGGTATAGAAAACATACGAATACTGAAATACATAAAAGTATACCTAGTAATTTATTGCTAAAAAATCATATATTGGGTAAACCTAATGCAATTCTCACGTAGGTAGGCAAGAATGATAAAATCTTGTTTAGCTTAAAATAAATATTTTCTATGAGTGTTTATTGTTCATATTAGATACAAGTATTTTTTTTTTCTAAAGTGATTTTTTGTTGTTTTTCGTAAAAAAACCATGAAAATTAAACATAGCATTTGTTTTTACGAAATCAATTTAATTATCTATATTAAAATTACTTAGACAAAAAATCATATATTCATTCTTACAGTGGTTTAGTCTTTGGTTCTCAAAATTTAATAACACTTTCTGAGTATTGAATATAGAAAAATACAAATAATCATAGAATATTTTATTTACGTCTTTGAATGTTCTAATATTTATATGGTGCAATGTGGCAGTATATATCTACATAAATCATCCCAAATTTAGAAAATATATGCTAAAAACAAACTATAGAATTGAATATTATACACAACATATATCCTCACCCCCTCATCAAATACAACACTGAGTACACCAATGATAATTGGTTTGACACGTGTAGACGTGTAGTTACATTTTTGTAGACGTTAGTAATATCTAACTGATTATAAAATTAAACAAAAATTGGCTCTTTTAAAAATAATTAGTCACTGGTAAAACATTTAAGGTCTAAGTATTCTGATTCTGATGATGTGTCAGAATACACTTTTAAGTTTTTACCCAAATAAGCTTTATTCGGATTTCTTAATTTTTCATCTTGCCGTATTTTTTTGTGTAACAGAATTAAATTTTACGTATAATTTTATTTTAACTTATTTAATTTATTTACATGTCTATATTTTTCAAATTAAAATAATAATCCTTCGATCCTCCACTTTAAGACATAGATTGCTATCAAATGCAACTGATGAATTTTAGGAATGTCCGTACACGCGATCTAGAAATGACAAATATATACTATTTATTAAATAAATATTCATTAAAAAGTAATAAAATTCTTATATTTTTCCCAACTCATAAAACGTTAAACTGAAACTATTTTAAAAGTTAATTGAAGTCATTGAACTACATAAATCGAAATTCATGAGCAATGTAATGTATATAATCAAAATAGTCAGTTTGATTTTTATGATTTATGTAAATGTAAAGGAAAAAAATGTGGAGAGTGGTTATCTTAATTTAATAAACATTGGCAATAAGATAAACCAAAAATAGAGCTTATAATTGTGTTACCAATTGTTTTTTATACTACTACCTACGTTATTATATTTTATCGGACCAATATTTAATGTGTTTATAACGTTGTCTCGTGCCGATTAATAGCCTAATGGGTCGTCTTTGTGTTGTTTAAATACCAGATAGCACCACGAAAACCTTGAATTGCTCACTATACTGTTTATTCAGACTGGAAGGAGTCCAAGTCCGCGCATATGGGGTCTTCTCGTAATAATTTCAATCCAGCTCCAGTCACTAGTCAGTATTTACCGGTTATTAGTTAACTGTTGCATTGGCTTCTCGCGCCCGGTTGTGTCCGTGCCGTTCTTACGTATTTCGTTCGTGATTAGTGATCACTGATCAATCTTTAATTTGATATATAATAATACGTGTGAATAATAAACGATAACTAATACATAAATAAATATATTATTTCATTATATATTTAAATTTTGGTTGTAAATTTTTAAGAACCGATTTATATCTTTTTTTTATATTCCAGTCAAGTTTGTGCGCAAGTAAATTATATATTTATTTTTTAGTGATTACTGGCTATGTGTGTAACTATACTTGGGTAAATAATTTTATAAAAATAATTTTTATTTCATTTCTTGATATTTTATGAATAATTTTATGGTTATTCAAAAGTTGTTCACACAATTTAATTGTACATAATTATTTTCACATAAAAAAAATAATAATATTTAATTGCATAGGTTAAGTTAAAAATATAATTCCAATACCTATATAAAAAAAAAAAAATATATCTAAATTTAATTTAATGTAGGTACTAACAAAACATTGTATTTAATTATAGTTAAGAGTTAAGTTTATAATAATAACGTGTCCAAAAACAGTTTATTACATCGCCAAATTTGTACATCTCAAACCATTGAACAATCAGTAGCGTATATATGAGTGGTACCTATTCATGTATTCGAGATTTATCATCTGCGTATGATTGTGAAAGTTATTTGAAATGACGAAATCTTCGTTTTTTTTTTATGACGAAGTTCAGTATTTAACTATATTAAAATTTCAGTAAAACTTTAATTTTCTACAATAAATTAACATGTAAAGTTATCTTCTAATAATTAGAGTCTAATGTGAAATTATATTTTGAATGACTTTAATGATTCGTTCAATTACAATTATTTTTTTTCATTTTCCTTATGATTTAAATATACACATTAGTTACAAAAAATACAAATTGTTGCGTAAAATACAACCAGAATACCTATAGATATATAATATATTATAACATATGTTTAAATAAAAGTTAAGTTTATTTAATTTTTGACTGATTTAATCTCGTTGCATTTTAACGGTCAGATTAAGATGTCTAGATTAATGACTTTAAAACTAACCATATCATACTAACCTACCAAAATAAAACTAATTTAGTTCACGTCATATAAAGTATTATTCAAGTATTTAAAAATATCAAATAATATCTTATTCAATACTAATATCCAATAAAAATAATCTCCTTTTCACTGTATGGTCATACACAGAATTAATAATTTAATTATTGTAAATAGTTTATCTCATGGAGGCCTTCAAATAAAATATACATTTCGTATCCATATAAATCGTTAAATTGTGTGTGCAACTTTTTCGGGTTAAAAACAATTTTATCTTTAAGTATAATATAATTCACAAAACGCTATCGATAAATTCCAGTCTGTAGAGAATACTAAATATGTCTGTATAAAAACTATATTCAAATTCTTAATATTATCCCGTACGCCTGGTCATTTTGTTTTCAACGAACACTAAATTATCATTCGATTTAAACTACATTTAAGATTTGCATTAATGATTTCAAGTTTAAATGACTTTTCTTTAATGCGTATATATTTGTTAAAAACGATTAGCATACCTTACTTAAAATCAAATAGATTTTTAATGTCTATGACTATGTATCGTTAAGATAAATGTGTCGTGACCGTATTTAATAATAATATAGTGCACCTCAATACGTCTATCCCATTACACGGTACGTTAATTTAATAGTGTTGACGATTGACATTCGAGAAATTGAAACGCAAAACAAAATATGAATATTTCTTATTGTATATTGTTCAGTCAAAAATCAACAAAATATTATAGTTGGATAACTTTATTAGGACAACTAACTATTAATATTTTTAATAATAACTGTCCGATAGTAAACCGATCCCACGTCTTACCTTGTTGAGCATTGTGCGTTTACAATTTGTCAAGGGCACGATAGGAATTCATATTTTCACAATCTCCAACGCATTTATTATCTATATTATACGTGTCTACCATTTTTTCGTCTTTTATTACTGTTTATGGTTTTAATTAGGTTTTTATTCTTGAAAATAACTTAAAACTTTCATACCCCATTTAAGAACAGTAAAATTGTTTTGAAGGAGTAAAAAATCACTTTTTTTGGCATTGGTCCCTTTGCGGTTGACAGGTTAAACTAAATTTAGCCGGATTTATCTTATGCTGCGCTGCTGCACATGCGATGACACTTAAAAAAGATGTATTTACATAAATTGCGCTATACCGAAGAAGGGGATAAGGAAACGAACGGTTTTATTGCTCTCATCTAAATAAACCCTCGCGTGGAGTGTCATCCGCCTTGCGTAACCTCCCCGCGCCCACCCGTAACCACAATAATAGCATATGTTATTCGTTATAAATTATTATAATTTATAGTACACGGGTATGTATAATATGTACCTACTTATGAACTTGGTGATGATAAAATTAGTCGTTACTGACAACTTACAATGGAGATGTACTAAGTTACGAAAATCAAATCTGATCGACTGACGAATTCTCTACCGATTGGAAATGTCTTCGAATGCGTTTTAGTGAAATATAATATAATATATAGGTACACACATAACACGCTATTCACTCGTACGCATTTAAGTTTTGTGAAAGTAAAACACGTGCCTATTAGCGCCAGGAGGTTTTACATGCATATAATATACTCTTAGACATACATTATTATTATAAAATTATTTTTATTTGCGTATTTCTTGTTAACGAAGGTGTTAACGGGGACACACCTGCGGCCGTACCAGCAACAGCAGCAGCAGCAGCATTAGTTGCCGTTTCGTCTTGCGTTCTCGCACGCGTCGCGTCGGTTACGCGCGTAGCCGAAAACCCGGCGTACCCAAAAAAATATTATGATAATAATGAAAACCGACGCCCATTCGCGCACGCACAAGAATCATAAAAAATAATAATATATCAGCGCATTGCGCGTATTATTGTTATTAAACAAATACGATAATAATAAATTGCGTTGTGCGTGAACGCCGCCAGTCCAAAGGCGACGTAAAAACAAAAAAACCTGACTACGACGACGAAAAAATAACATGTACGGCGGTAAAAGACGACTGTTCCTCCTGTGCCACCGCCGCCGCCGACGCAGTCGTACGCCACATTCGCCTCGCGTTCTGATCGCCGGTCGCGCGGCGCCGGCGGTGCACTTGCAGTGCTGCAGCGTATCGCACCGCCACCGAAGCGGCCACGATGTTAGCCGGCGCGCTTGACCGCGTGCTGCCGGGCCGCCGGCCGGTACCTGCACCGGGTGAACGATGGAACGACGCCCCGGCCGCCGTCGCGGTATCCGGCCGCACGTTACCACGGCGGCGCGGCGGTCTGCCGCAGCGCCGCGAACGGCTGGAGGACGGACGCGAAAGTTGGCCGCAGGCCACGGTCGAAATGCGGTGGCGGTGGCATCCCGGTCGGCGGCGGCGGCTTCGGCGGCGGTGGGCGGATGCGTTCCGGGCCCCGAACCCGTACGAAAACGGACGCCGGCCACGACCACCTGCAGCAACGGCGGATTCTCAAACGTTTCGCACACGTGGCGTTTCAAGCGGCTAAGGTACGACGACGAAACCCGCTCCACCGTCAATTATTCATTTTTATATTATGATGATATCATTATCGTTGAAATCGTTTCGTCGTGTATATTATTATTATATATCTTGTGTCCTATATGCGCGCCCTGCAATCGCGGCAACTTCACGTTTGCGTGTTATAGTTGTGTTATGGGTGCTTAAAGATAATACTTTTTACGGTATTTGTGTTATGCCGTTTTATTGTTTTACGTCATATTATGATATTATGTTATTATTAATATCGTCTTGCGATCGGCCGACCTCGAAAGACAAAAAAGGTGTGTGCCCGTAGCTCGTCGTCGTCGTCGGCGACACCAGCCGAGTGGGCGACTTATTTTTCCTCCGTTGCCGCGTGTTCGCCGAGACCTTCCCGCGATGACATATTATTATAATATTATGTATTATAATGGTTGTTCGGCAGATGTTGGTCGTAGCCGCGAGACGCGTTCGTGGTGCACACACGTTATAGTGTACCAATATATTATAATATGGTAAGAACCAGATCTCGAAAGTCGTATATATGTGCGTGGAAAAACGAGAGAGAAAACCGGCACCGAGTTATGTCCGTGCGTGCGACGGACGTTCGCCAACGAGTACGTCGTATTATATATATAATAATATATATGTGTACGATGTCCGTCGCCTTGCCGTTCGCAAAATACCACTTTGGGGATCGTGCCGTTCCGTCCGGTTCATTATTATTATATGATACGTCGTCGCGGGCGTATATCGCGTCCACGCACATATTTCGATGCATACTCGTTATATAATATATATATATATTCAGTGTGAATGCGTGATTCACCAAACATCATCACCCCTTTATTTTCTTTAATGATGCAGTTATTCGAAATCTGATTTAGAACTTAAGAAAATTTGACATTTTTTTATACTATTTAGGGATGTTTTCAAGAAGTACAAAACTTGTATTTTTCAGTATAAAAATCTCCCTTTCTATTGTAAACTAATTTAGCTGAAATTTTTTACGTATAAAATTCAAAATTCGAACGAGTAGTTTTGCGTTATTTAACTTAATGTATTGAGGATTATAAATCCACGGTAATGGGCTGCCCTATACGGCGAGTTAAAAATTTTAGAAATTAATATCAAAATTTATAATTTATAAAAATGCTCCTAGTGTAATAAATATCAAATCCAGCATTTCATTTATTTTATATTTTTGTAAAACCATTTTTAATGATTATTATCTTCAGTATAAACATTTTAATAACTGTAAAACTATTCCTTAAAATCTCCGTTTAGATACAATTTTCAAAATAAACAATCACCTAAATAATTCTTACTAAAAAGGGATAGGTTAGGTCTTAATAAAATGGGATAGGTTTCTTATTTGAAAAACCAAAGTTTTTATTCCCATAGGATATTACTAAAATCTTATAGTACAAAAAATTTCAATAATCTGAAAGTTTGGTCTTTATAAATATACTTAAAACTTCCAAAAATAAAAATTTAAATTAATTCATTAAATGAAAAAATGGGGATGATCGTGCTTGGTGAATTATTCTGTATATGCTGCTGAAGATTTGCGCTCAGCTCATCTTTATAGATCTTTGTTTTTCGTAATAAACGCACAAGAAACAATGAACTGTAACAACTACAGTTAAGTTGATGATGTCAATAATGTTTAATGATTGGTCTAATATTAGGCGACTTGTAGTCTGTCACGTTTTTGCGCTTTGAGTAAAGAATTTGATCAAATCCTCGTCAAAAACTCTTAAAACTTTATTTCGATTTATCATTAATGAATATTATATTGTATTATAGGTGTTTGTGGGACAAAAAATAACGTTATGGATTCTTAATAATCGCAATTTAATTAATATCGATACCCCCTCCCCCTATATAAGTAATACACCCTATTCTGCATTGAAGAATCGTGGTAAATTTTTTAATAAACTATAGGTTTAAAATACCAATTTGTCACTTTCTTCACTTTCTATACTTGTATAACATATATATATATATATATATATATATTATGTAAGCAAACAGCCCATTGCCCACGTTATGTATTCTTTTTGCTGTGTAGTTTAGATAGGTATATACATCGCTTTATCGACACCTGCACGACAACACGTTATTTTTACGTTCTCTTGGCTACACTACTGTTTGAATGATTAACGCATTTGGAATGTGAAAAAGTCCGTTTTTCCCGTTAGTCAAACTATTTTGTTATAATAAAAAAAAAATTGACGTATCTCATATTATATTCGACAATATTTTTAAACATTTCTTTTTTATTAAATTCACAAATTTCATATTTTTACCATTATCTTAATCACACCATATATATCAATGTATTATTATTCTCTTTGTTCGATAAATTCGTTTGTTTAAAAAAAAAAAAATGATACTAGATGACACGTTTCTATTAACTCATAATTTATAAAATTTGATATGTTTATACGTCACATAATTACACGATCTGTTTACTTAAACACGAATTGAGACGTTTGCACTATTACTTATCGATATACTGCAAAAATAAAACGAACAAGAAGATATTATATTATTATGTACTACATATTAAACTATCCATGCTTGACCATTTGCCAATAAGTATCAACAATGTACAATAATAAAAACATTTCCGTCTATGAATGTTTAATCGCATAGTTGGTTCTGGTGTTGTAGACACATATATTTTATTTTTCTATTAGGTACGAGTTTATTTCTTCGACAAATAATGAATAATAATTATGATATTATAAGCTATAGATAATAACCGTATGATGATTATTGAAAACAAAACAAAGTAATAAGAAAATTAATTTGCTTGTAATACTTAAAATGTTCAACGTATAATGATGATAGTATCATTTCCATATAGCACGTATAATAACTATACGTTATAAAAATTATTTTTTGAATCTTGCGAGTAGGATGATGTCCGTGTTGGTATACGCATATCATACATATTATATTATGTATATATATACATGTATATGTATTGAATTGCCCTCGTATTTACATTGTCTATATATATATATATATTATTGTGGACGGGAATAAATTAAACATGTACGTTTTCATCGAGAGCGCGTGGGATAAATCCGTACAACATAATATAATATGTAATGTAATAATAAGTATATAACACCTATGTAATTGTGTTGACCTTTGAACTCTGTGTGTTGATGAATTGACGACAGTATTAAATTCCTTATTATTATGTATAGTGTGTACATGTGTTCATATATTATACTGGTTATAGTAGGTATTTACGTTATCCCTCAAACTAAACCAACCCCCCGACATGATGCGCTAGCGTATATAAAAATTCTAATTGATGAACATGTCTAAATTATATTTTTCCAGTCATGGTAGCAGAACGCCGGTGGAGAAACCGTCGGCCAAGTCATCAGAAATGGCTGAAAGCGGCAACGAGGCCGCAATGGCTCCAGCTGCCAAAACAGGATCAATCAAAGTACACTTACCCAACAACGGATTCAATATCGTTAAGTTCATAGATAACATCAATGTCAAGGTAAAATAAATAAAATAATTTATTACAATAATCAATCGCAATCGCGTGTTTAAAATTTAAATATTATAAACTTAGTATACAAGGAGATTTTTTGTACAATATATAAATACTCATTATTATTATATTATTTTTTATTTTTTAGTGAAAACTTATTATGTTTTTGAGCAAACTTTTCTTTCTCTAAAGTTATGTTGTATTAATCAAATAATAAAATTGTAAAACAATTATAATTTTGTGCTTTAGAGTTAACAACTTAAACTATACTGGTTGTTATCAACAATAAAATAGATTTTTTTTTTAGAAGTGTACTTTTAATTATGTATAAAAACATTTTTTTTTGAAGAAGAAGAAAAACTCTTGTATTGATCGATACAACAAATACGTTCATAGTTATAAAAGAATCACCTTTGTATAATATTCATAACATATTTACACATATTCGATTTGTTGACCGTAATATTTTTACTGTTGTTATAATATACTGCATTATTATTATTTATTATATTATTTTTTGGATAACAAACATTGATTAAATGACGTTTGATTTTGTTTTCATGTTTCGTTTTCAAGGGTATCATATCTCTAGTTATTGGACGTTTGGCTAATGGATGTCCTCAGTATCAAGGCGTTTACGGATTGCAGCTGTACCATCCGTTATCTGGCGAGGTTCACTGGTTACATCAGGATTGCACAATGTCTGAGGTTACCATAAAAAGTTGATAATAATGATGCATTGAATATTGTTATCTATATACAAAGTGGACCATCGTGTTTTCTCATTTTTCTTAGTTGGCCTTATAGGAAAGTGAGAAAAGCAGTATGGTTCATTCTGTATACACGCAATGTATATTCATTAGGTGTTTAATTATATCTACATTATTCAAATAACATTAATAGGCTCACAATTCCCAATATGTACATAATATATGAATGTATTATATTTATATATTATTTTTCTGCGATAGATTTACCAAAAATACGATGAACAGTATCCAATGTCAGAATGGAGATTTGAGCTGCGCGTACGATACTCGCCCGACGACATGGAGGACCTGTACGACCGAGATCGGTTTACTTATTTCTTCTATTACGATCAAGTAAGTACATTTTTCTCTAAACGGGCGTCTAAAATATAATTTATATAATGATCCTCCCGCCACTTGTTTTTGTCATGCTTATGTACGCACTTATACAAATATCGCTATTGATAGGCCATAATATATTAGTATCTATAATATGATGTATATCAGTCAAAATAAAATAGCTTTAATATTATTATTGGAAAAATAAAGTCGTCCAGGTTTTAAATAACCATTTAGCGGGTGTCACATTTATGGACTTCAATATATGTGATTCTCAGTCTAGATTATTTAACTCAACGACAATTTGTATAGCTCTACCACAGTTCATAGATACTACATATTTATTATATACCGTTTATTTATGAGACATAACAGCTTTCCTTACCACTGCAGGCTCTATCTATATATGTTTTATATTTTATTTTATTACATAATATTATGTTGTGTGTGTACAAAAAATTACTGTTAAGAGTGTATAATTTTACCGTATTACACCATTTTTTATTTTTTATTGTTAATTGGTAATAATGATAGTGATCTTCCACCCACTTGAATTACGTAGGTGTTTCTGAACTGTGGAACTGTATAAGTTAATACCCGCCACTGCGTTGAGATGACGTTGTACCCGCATGTGTTGTCTCCTTATACTAACGTATAATATAGAAAATTTGTGTTCACCAGAATATATATATTTTACTGTTAGCTTTAATATTAGAGTCAATTGACTTACAATCAAACTTAAAGGTAAGAATATTATCTAGGTCATCTAGGGCATCACGTAGGTTTTTATTACTATTTTAATTTCAAAGTGAGTTACACAAACTATTTTCAAAATTCACATTTTTATTCTAATAATTAAACAAGTAGTTTTGAAAAATTATAATACAAGTAAAAGTTATTCTATAATCATAAATTAATTTAAAAATTGTTTACAAAAGTTAAATATAAAATACATAATACAGATACCTAATTATTGTTCAATAAGATCGCCAATAAAATAATACACAAATTGTTTATAAAAGTTAAATACAAAATACAAATTTATTTAATCTTTATTATAATTAAATGCTACTAATTTTTACTTGTATTATAATTTTTTCAAAACTACTTGTTTAATTATTAGAATAAAAATGTGAATTTTGACAATAGTTTGTGTAACTTACTTTCATAAATGAGTAAATTCATAAATATCGCAGAAAATTGCACTTAAAGTTTTTAGATTTTTAATTCGTACTAACATGACACACATTTTAAACTTACTTAGCAACTGAAAAAATAAAAAAAAAGTTGCAAATGCAACAACATTCGCCCCATGATAATAATACAACAATTAACTGTAAAATTTTATCGTGTAATATATACAAGTAAATTTGGTGCAAATAGGCGATTGTATAAAATGTACTTTTTTTATTTTGGCGCAAATGGGCTATACCTAAAACGATTACCTTTTTTTTGGCGCAAATAGGTAATTCCCGACATAATCGAGTAAAATAGCGCCACAATGTTCAGTTTAAATTAAATTTATTAAAACAATTGCATATTGTATAATAGTTTTTGAAAATTAGAGGGTGGCTGAATTTAACTTTTTTTTGTTTCTTCTAATGAAGAATAACTAATAACTCAATTAACCGACCATTTTTATTTTACATTCGATCATCATAATTGCTCGTATTTAACTATATAATTATCATTATAAACTACGTATTTCAGGTACGATTCGATTATTTGAGAAAAAACGACCCGGCTACGCGAGTGGATACGGATATAGCTGTACAGCTTTGCTGTTTACAAATAAAATGCTTTTTTCGGGAAGTTCCACAAATGTCGTTGGAAAAGAAATCCAATTTGGAGTATCTGGAACGCGAAGTGAGATTGCAATTTTTGTTTATATTAATTTCTCGTATAGGCCTTACAAATACGATATTATCGACATTTGACCCTCTAAATGTTTAATCATTGTTTTTTTTTTGTCCGTCTATTCAGATCGGGCTTAACAAATTTCTGCCCTACTATATACTGGAATCGACGAAACCAAAGAATTTACGAAAAATGATTCAGCAACAGTATAAAAAACTTTTACAAACACCGGAAAAAGAATGCGTACTACAATTCCTCAATATCGTTTGGACGTTTTACAAATACGACGAAGAGCAATTCAAGTGTTCAATCGGAGTAAGTTGAAAAAAAAATAGCTTAGTATGTTTCTTTTCTCTCATTATTATTGCATAATGATATAGCCATGTAGCCTACATTTAAACATTAAAAGACTGTCATATAATATGAACACAATTGTTGCGTTTTTAATTATTTCAGTCTGGTTGGACAATACCGGTAGATTTAGTGATCGGACCGCGACATGGAATATCTTACATCAATAACCAGGGATCAGCGGTAAAACATATTTTTACTTAAATATTTAATAAATATATTGCGTGCTGCAATGCTTTAATGGTTTTTTCGATTCCCATTTTTAGCCCACCAAAATGGCGGATTTCGCTCACATTGAAAACATACAGACACTGGTGTCCGAATGTGAAACACACCGTAAAACGTTAGTGCAGCTCCAAGTGACCGACTCGGCTGACCCTTTAGTGCTCAGCTGTTCGACGCTCGAGCACATGTACAGCCTAGCCAATTTGATAGATGGTTACTGTCAACTGGCGAGGAAAACGAATATTTCGTTATGGAATAAAAAAGGTGAGAAACGGATGAAAAAATGATAATTTAATGTTTACAATATAATAATTACCAATATTATCAAATTAATATTTATTTGTATATACCTATACTTGTACGTTTTAATTTCCAAGCTGCCGTATGGAACCGTTTTCCTTGTCCATGTGATTCTAAAGGTTTGTGTTAAATGAACGAAAATAAAAAAACAAACATCAATATCAATCAATTATTATTTATATTATACCCCTATTAATATACTAATGTACTAGACAATGTAATGGATAATTTAGACTTCTATTTATATGATGAATATATATATACCAGGGCTTTCATTTAAAAAAATATTGTTTTACGTTATACACATTTTGAGGTTATCGTTATTCAGAATTAAAATATTTAATTTATTTAATAAATTATAAGTTATAACTATTAAATAATTGGAAATAAATTATTTCATTTAATGATATACTATATATAACTTTTGCATTTTGTTTTGTTTGATGATATATATTTTTTTAATTTCTCGTGTTTTTTTTTTTTGTGTTATTTAATTATTTGTGTTAATCGTTTTCCATTATAGTTACGTTTACAAATCTTAATCGTTTTTTTTCAAATATAACGTTATTTTAACGTTTACAAGCCCTGATATATACATAATATATTTATATTTATTCGTATATATTATATTTTTTTTTGTTTACATATTGTTATTGACTGTTATCGTATATAGATTCAGGAAAAACCAAAGCCAAAGTGCCCGCAAGGTTTTCCGATGATTATCCTGACGATGGTCCGATCGAAGAAGAAGGCGATTATTCAACACTTGCTAGTACGGATTTTAGTTAAATAAAGCTTTTATATTTTGTATATTATATTAACGTGCAGATTTATATCTAATATTGATTTCCGTGTTTTATCGAATATTAAATATTCGATTAATTAATTGATATGTTTTCAAAAAACCATTTTTCTCTTAACAACTTAATTGCTCTCTATATGTATTATATAGAGTTATATTTACTTCGATGTATTCCTATGAGTTAAATAAGTACGTTGATAATCAGTTATGAAATAATGATAGTGATAAAAAGATCGCTCTTCGTACTAACGTGATATTTTCAAATAATTTATTATTAATAGATTTTCATTAAACATTTTTCATTTAAATTATTTCATAAGAATATTATTTATTTTTGCCATTTAAAAAAATAAATTATGAATTAAATGACATCACGGCGCTTTAATTTAGAATTCTAGTGATTTCAAAACACAGTTAATCCATCGACTTGTATTTTTTTTTAATATACATTGTTTTGCTGTAATTTTTCATTGTTAAATTTTAGATTGTAATTACGAGTTGTACCGCGATCAAATTGAATTGGGTGAAATCATCGGAGAAGGTCAATTTGGCGATGTGCATAAAGGAACATGTCGCATGCGTTCAACTAAAAATAAGCCAGAAAACGCTGTAGCAGTAGCCATAAAAACATGTAAACCTGATGCGGACATGGCAACTACAGACAAATTTTTGGAAGAAGCATGTAAGTGTTTACAGTTATATTTCATTGATAATTATTTATTAGCATATCTTCAGCTAACATATCCGAATTTTACTCTCACAAATGGCTTTGACACTTTGAACCAGTGTTAACTTTTTAACTACTGTTTTTTTATCAGAGGAAAGTTACAGTCGTCGACGACGGCTACCGTCCCGCTGCCTAATAGAAATTTACATCAGTGTATGATAACTTATAACTTTTAAATCAAAATTTAGATACATTATATTTATCCATACGAAAATATTTAACATCGAAGGCTTTTGTACCAACTATATACTATACAATTTAAAAATAATTTAAGATATTTTCACGCATTTAATTTCTAATACTATGAATATTGTATACGTTTCAGATATTATGCAACAGTTTGATCACCCACACATCATACGACTGATCGGAGTTTGTTGTTCGCCACCCGTATGGATAGTCATGGAATTGGCTAAGCTAGGCGAATTACGGGCGTACTTACAGAACAACCAGGCTCATTTAGACTTAGCCACTCTTATTCTGTATTCGTATCAACTTTCTACAGCTCTATCGTATCTTGAATCTAAGAAGTTTGTTCACAGGTATATTATATAGCTCAAACAAATAATTACACGACGAAAGTTTAATATTTATCGTCAGTACATATTAATTAAAACAAATAAAAACTGTTTTCGTAGAGACATCGCCGCTAGAAACGTATTAGTGTCGTCACACCACTGTGTGAAGCTAGCCGACTTTGGTCTGTCGCGCTGGGTCCAAGACCAAAGCTACTACAAGGCGTCCAAGGGTAAACTACCAATCAAGTGGATGTCACCGGAGTCGATCAACTTCCGGCGATTCACCGCCGCTAGCGACGTCTGGATGTTCGGCGTATGTATGTGGGAAATATTGATGATGGGCGTGAAACCATTCCAGGGGATCAAGAACAACGATGTGATCGGCAAAATCGAGAATGGCGAGCGGCTGGCGTTGCCGCCCAAGTGTCCGCCGAGGTTATACAGTCTCATGTCACAATGTTGGTCGTTCGAGCCTAGTAAGAGGCCCACATTCAAAGACGTTAAGGAAGTACTCAAGTACGTCGATGCATATACTGAATACTGATACCGAAACGATTTGGACTATATAGCTTTAGTTTCAGTCAATATTCAATTTAATTTATTTTGTTTCAGTGAGATATTGATTGAAGAGAGACACCAACAGAAGGAAACGCTTCGGAGGGAAAACCGCAGGGTGCACACTCTATCTTGGGGTAAGCAAAAACAGTGAAAATATATAACGAATAAAACTGACGACTGCATAAGGGCAGAAGGAATGACAACTTTTAGTACTATTTGACTTATATTTTTGTCATTTTCCGGCAAATGTCTGCGCGTGATTGTCGATTCGCACCCCCAAAAATGTCTTTATAATATGTACAAACCCATAGTATATTTCGAACATGATTTAGGATCCAGCGGCTCTCTGGATGACCCGTCGGCACCACCCAAACCTTCCCGTCAGCCTAGCGTAGACCTGCACAACAACAAGTCCGCGGAGCTACCCGTGTCCACTTACATAGTAGCCCAAAACGCTGAAGTGCTCGCTCACCTGTTGAAGGAGAACGAGCAGCGGGGCGTCGTCAACCCGTCCGTGTACACAACCCCGGCAACCGGATTCAACACGGTAACCGTAGATTTCCTTAATGACGTTGACGATGACAAAACCATTTCGGCCGGGAACAGTATACTGAGCATGGACTCTGTGGGACTTATCCCGATGGACGGTGGCAGCGGTGGTGGAAATGTCGCCGTCCAGCCGTCAACTAACAAGACGTTGCCTAGGAATTTTACTTCGGGAGCGGCTTCGCTACTAACACTACCGCCGAACTCGGCAGACAAGAGCAGGCGATGTTCAGACGGCAGTCTGGGCACGTGCGCCGCCGCTGCTGCTGCTGCTACAGCGGTGACCGGTGGAGGAATGAATATTGATGAGGTTCAGCTTGTTGTTCGCGTGTGACGTACTTATATGCTTGCGGGTTTTGTGTAGGAGGCGCACATAAAGGTATAAGCAGGGGGTGTGCTTAAAACCTTTAGCGTAATAACTTCGAGAAGTGCAAAAAATCGCAATCATTACGTCCTTAAATAAATTTGAAAAGATTAACGATTTTATTTTTTTTGATCTCGCTGTATATTTTCATAGATTTCATTGTTGCAGAACCCCTAAAATGCCCAGCTTTAGTTTACGCTTCACACCCCCTGGCTAATGCTGTTTAAAACTTTATTTATTCTCTTCATTTTTTCCCCTATTTTAATTTTTTTCTCTCACCGTTATTACAGATAAAAGTTGGTTGATGGATTCTTTAATTTACAATACGTTATTAAATTTTAATTTATGCCCTCCCTATTTAGATTTTTACATAATGTCCATTCAATGTGCGCCTATAATTTGTGTTCATGGTGTATTGGTGTGTTCGTGTGAGTAGCTATTTGTCGTAATTTTATGTGTTGTGCATCGTTAATAACTGTTTTAATACTCTAGCATTGCTTAATATAATGTCTCTGTTTGATTTAATTTTTGCAAAAATTTAAAATAACGTTTCCTGCTTTTTTCTAACCAATTAATATGATGTTATTTCATGCATGCTTCTAAGTATTACAATAATGTCTTGTTGATAAAAATATTACTACAAAAAATCAACGCTCTGCGTGTGATTTTCATAGTTTATGAGTAAATACTTTAATTATGTGAATGTATAAGCAATTTTAAAATAAATATTTTTCATATTTTAATGTTTAGGAAGCCAAACATTTTGTAAACAACTCTGTTGGTATATATGACAACGAACCCTTGTCTGAAGTAGAACAGCTGGAACGCAAGCTAAGACAACAACAAATCGAGTCAGAGAAGGACAATTTATGGCTAGCTGAAGAAGAGACAAACTTAGTACGTCCATCTTAATCGATTCTCTAAAAAATTTTCAATGTCTATTTTAATATTCAATTTGCATTATGTTATTATTGTAGAAAAAACGACTATCTTTAGTTGCCAGTGTGTCAGACAATGAATCTATTGATGGTAGATCATCGTTGACACCTCCTTCTTCCCTTGATCGAAGTACCAAAACAAAACCTACAGAAGATCGTATTGTTGTAATAAAAGTTAGTTTTTTAATAAATATTCAAAATTCTAACATTTTACTTACATACCTTCCATCATTCTTATAGAAACTCGAACCTACACCAACAGCCGATTTGGACAGAACTAATGATAAAGTATATGAGTGTACAACACTGGTTGTCAAAGCTGTTATGGCCCTTTCACAAGGTTAATATAAAAATATTATTCTCATAATTATTATAAACCGTGTGTAAGTTCTTAAATAAATCTTAAATTTTATCGTATTACTACAGGAGTTCAACAAAGTCAGACTGATCGATATTTAGAACTAGTCAAGGAGGTTGGTCTCCAACTCAGAGCTTTATTGACAAGTGTTGATAGCCTGGTACCATATTTCCCTCAAAGTGCTCACAAACAGGTAAATTAAAATAAATAGTCTCTGTTCATAATCATTGAAAATATTTATATTACTTCAGGTGGAAATGGCACATAAAGTTCTCAGCAAAGACATGGCTGAGCTAGTCAATGCCATGAAACTTGCTCAAAATTACTGTCACACTGCTGTCGATTATTTGTACAGCAAGTAAGTATTAATGAATCGGTCTCAATAGTATTACAATAATAATTACACAAATTGAATTTTTTTTTTACAGGGAAATGTTGTCTTCGGGTCATATTTTGGCTATGGATGCCAAAAACCTGTTAGACGTTGTTGACTCTGTGCGCATGCAATATCCTGAAGTAGAGGCAATGATCAGTGCCCGGCAGTCAGAGACAGCCAAAGAACAGCACCCTGGAGTAGCCGCCACTTCATAGTAGTACATTTTATAGTATGCATTCCTAATTCATTACGCATCTATCATACACCAATATTATTGCAATTATTTATTGTTTTTTTTTTTTTTTATATACATATATATATAATAATAATTAATCGACTGCCTAGTAACTTTATTAAAAATTATTTATTTTTTTTTTACTAAATTTGTAAATAATATATTAACGGAAGATATTTTATAGTATTTTACATCCTCAAGTAGAATTCATTATTGTTGATGCTATGTGTATATATACATTATATTATATATACAATTTATAAAATGCTTATTATTGCTGTTAAAATATGGAATTATTATTTGTTCCTTTTATAAATCGTGGGTGCGTATGTGAAAATTATTTTGATCCCAGTCTTACTAGTCATAAAATATTTTACCCCTTATTATTATTATATTATATTATACGTAACTTATTTCCAAATAAATGGAATCAATAACCATATCTAGTGTGTAAAAAAATAACTAAGTCTATTTGTTTTATTATTTACTCTGTGTGATGTGAATGCATGTTAAAATTATACCATTTTTTTTTTTTTTTTTTTTTTGTGTTGTATCAAACAAAATGTGTGAGTGTTCTATTTAATGGTTGTAAGTGGAAAACTAATGGTTTCCGTTTGAAAATTTTTTTATTTAGTCTTTAAAAATATTGGAAAATATAACAACAATCATTAAAAATTAAAATGAATTAAATTCTCATTTTTCACATTTAATTAGTAAATTATTTCTATGTGTGAAAAATACATTATTTAATATTGAACGGTTTATTAAATATTAATGCTATGAAAAGAAATTCTATGTTTTACTCATTAATTACAAAGTTTAATTTATTTTTTCCAAATAAATAAATTACTTAAAGCTTGAAACATATTACTGTTTTTATAATTGATACTTTAATTTTATGGCAATGTTAAGATAATTTTTATTCAAAAAAAGACAATTATTAATATTTTTATCTATTTTCTTTTATTACTATTTTATGAATCACTATAAATAGACCCTGGTAAAATAAGTAAACTGTACTTTTATTTTAATAATTCATATTTATAACCATTTTTTTAAAACAAATTTTAAAATATAATGGCTCATTATTGTTACTAGTGTTTTTACTTTATTATAATACAAGAATAACAGAAAAACAACGGAAACCATATTTTTTCTAATTTTTAGTATTATTTCTCATATTATGTGATCTTAGATATTTTTAAACGCTCAAATGTTATTATTTTGATACACTGGTAATTTATTATTGTTTTGTTTTTTACATAAATAATAAAATATGACATTAAACTAACTTCATAGTATCTTTAATGTTATTCACCTTTCAACAATACCCATTTGCAATCCATTCAAATATCCATCTTCTTGATTCCCTTTTAATTTACCATTGATCATATGTGTGAAAATAATATATAACTGACATTGCTATACAAAGTTGCATATTATTGATTATGCCTATATGCAAAAAACTGCAAATGCATTTATTCGTCAGAATATAAATTTTAAGACATTTACTTATTGTTATGTACTGTACAAAGTTCAAAATTATAATTTAACATGTGATTAACATTCATGAATCCTTATACTTTAATACTAGCTTATAATAATTCAATTCACTGAAATAGTTGAGTTTAAATGACCAATAGTTGAAAACAAAATAACTAATAACATATGACTCACATCATTATTCAAACTAACTTACAATGTTAATTTAATTTTGTATATATAGCATTTTAATTAACCCCGTGACAATGATCAAATACATTACATATACATTAAAAATATAATCTAATATAGCGGTTTCCAAAATTTTTATGGCACGACCCATTTTGGAAATTATTTAAATTTTGGCAACCCACAATAATATTGAATCAATGACCAAATGTCTAAAAAAATGTATTATTCAAAAATATAGCCCGACCTGTGACCCACTAAAAATATGATTGGGACGCACTTTTGGGTCACAATCTAGTTTGGGAACCTCTGATCTAATAGATACATATACTTATAATTAAATATAAACAGCAGTCATTACATTTTCAAACTCATTAATCGTATTAAAGTACATAAATTATTAATATTTTTTTTTTGCTAAAGATCAATTAAATCCAACTAAGTTATACAACAAACTCAAGATCAATCAAATGTTAACAAATTACATAATGAAAACTCAAAACTATCATTACATAAAATAAGATAATGTTATATTTGTAGTACTAATATTATAAAAACCAACAAGTTTAAAATGAATAGTTACAGTAAAAAAACTTTGGTTCCCAACATTTCAATAAAATATCTTTTTTAGATACAATAAATAGAAATAAAAATATCATAGTTATATAATAAACTTTAACATTAAACTCTTTACTCTTCTTCAATATATAATTATGAATAAAATAACAAATTGTCACATACTACTATATCATAATGGATAAATTATTTTGAAAAACCTGTTGTTTTTCTTATTTTTTTGTTAAATTTAAAACTTAATAAACTGGACTTCAACTTTACAAAGACATTGATAATTAAAAGACTTTTAATTCAGTAAAATTGATCTGCTGCTTGACGAGCTAACATATCTGCTTGCTCATTTCCATAATCTTCATTATGTCCTCGTATGTAAGTCTATATAAAATAAAATTATATATTATTTACAATATATAAATTTAACAATAAAGTAATTCAACAATGATCCATAACAAATCTTTCTAATAGATCATTGCAACTATATGAAATAAAACTGAAAATAACATACAAATTCAACAACATCCATATCATTTATGAGACTGTCTAGTTTTAGCAGCATTTCCTTGTTGGCCACTGTTCTACCATTACAATTCTTCCAACCATTGAGCTTCCATTTATTGATCCACTTTGTCATACAATTGATTAAAAACATAGAATCAGTCATTATTTCTACACAATATTCGTCTAAAAAAAAAATATATGAATATGTGTGTAACTAAAAACAAAAAAGTACTGAATACTCAAATCATGAGTAGTGACTATCATATGATATCTGACAAACAAAATTTGAGTAAATTATTAATATTAATATTGAATCATTATTAGGGAACAGTAAATGCATATTTTTATTAATACAAGATTCTAAAAATTTTGAATTATGGCCTTTAGATATTATGCATTTCAAATATACTTCAATTACATCAGCCGATGTGGATTGATCATTTAGCTGTTTTAAAAATATTTTGAGACCTAATAGGCGACATTTAAAATTTAATAATTTAATAATTATATTTAATGTATTTTTTTTTCTCACGTAGTTTGATATTTTTAGTACATATTTTATAAATTATACCTCCAAATTTATGAACATACTTCTGTATTTTTATTACATTTAAATCCATTCCTTAATCATTATTAAAGAGAAATTGGCATTTAAAACTATAATTGTTTATAAATATTATTATGAGACAATTAACATTGTTTTAGAACCCCATACTCATAGCATAGCAACGATATATGTCACATAGTATTTTTTATCAATTTACCTATTACACAATATTGCCTATGAGCCTTAAGACATCTTTTTTTTTTTTTATGACTGGAGTCAAGTTTCAATATTTATACCAAATATATAACATTTTAAGAACAATTATACTTAGTCCAGTGTCTAATAATTATAAAAAGTCAGAAGAACAAAACATCTACTCGAGCGTATATGGATTCACTATTTCTAGGTCAACACAGCCAGTGATTGAAAATTTCAATAAAAAAATAGTAAACAATACTATTATTGTTGGATGGGTTAGCCAACGTGCCTTTTATAGATACTCACTGTAGTCAAGAAGTATATCAATGGCTTTAATTGCAGCATATATCTCAGCGTTATTGTTAGTCTGGACACCGGGCACGCGTAATGACAAGTTCCTGCAATAAATTACATTTAAAATATTACAGAAGATATACATTGTTATAATGGCATACAAACAAAATTAATAATATGAAAATTTATGAGTATATACTTAATACAATAAAATTTTGATAGTTCGAACAAATTCAGACTGAGCATTTTCCGGATTATCGGAGGGTTTTCAGAATTACCTAATCAAATGACTAAGATTTTATTTTTAATTCCACCACCTTTATATTTATTGCACTTTTAATTACAAAAATAATAAATTACTTTAACATAATAAATTACAAAAAATAAAGTATAATAATAGAACTTAAGTATATTAGTCAGTAAGTTTTTTCTGAATAATACTTTTAATTCCGAACAAATTACAAATGTATTTATGAACAAATAGACTTATCACGTCAGGATTATTGCGTTTACTGGATTATCAGGGATCTGGACTATCGAGGCTCTACAGTATACGTTTATACAATTTAACAAATGTGGACACCACTCCACCAAAAAAACCAACACTTAATTTTCAAAGATTAACACTGAATACTGAGTACTGACAACATCAACACCATTGTAATGATATCCAAACGTATGATATGGTGTATGTATAACAGTTGGATTTATTCAATAGGTACCTATTTAATATTTTATGAATTTGTTCGAATGATTGACCAATGCACATGGTATTAAAATACCTGCAGGCTGTAAGATATAAAAATCGAATAAATACTGTCATAAGGGTTACATGATATGGAATTTAACGTACCCAAATATACTTTTAATAATGAAAAATATTCTCCACCATATCAATTATCAATTAAGTTATGTGAAATTTCTGGGCGAGTATACAACAAACCTATATGATAACCTGTGATACAATAACGACTATAATATTGAAATCTATAGATCATATTTCCTCTAGGAATGTTATAAGTACTTAAAACTATTTGAAAATAGGTGCCTTACTGCTCGCATTGAATTTTAATTCATTAGCTCATCTGTCATTACATTTGCATGGCCGTCTATATGGTCTATTAGCATTATTTTTAACATTAGACTCAAAAACATTATTACGCCGGACTGCCGGAGTCAAAATCGTTCAAAAACCAACCCCGAACTACTGAGTAAGCATATTCTAAAAGTTCCTATTTTTTTTTTTTTTTTTTTTATGGTTAGACGACATACATCGAACAAGTGACAATAGTGACGACGCATTAGAATCTGCACAATAATTGTTTATCGTATTTGTTTTTTATTCGATCATTATATTTATTGGCTGTTATACACGTCATGATATCATTTAATAATCTACATAAAACAGCGTTAAATGTTTTAACTGATATACTCACAGTTCATGATCGTCGTCAAACCAAACGCCGACGCCGGCACGCGCGTATCGCGTACCGTTACCCGGACAGGCGCCATCCACGTACACCACCACATCACCGTACCTGTTGTAGTTAAAGGACATATTCCAAACGTCTATACTCACTCTACAGCTTATTATAAACAATAATAATAATAATACGACGGATGTGCGTGTAAAAACGATTGATTGGACTCAGGAAACGTTGCGACAATGGGTTTATGATCGCCAGATGAAACGTGAATTCGACGATGATATTAAAATATCATTAAGATGTGTCGTGTGAGAGACGCGTAGTGGCCAACGGTCAACTGTGTAATAAATAATACAAATTACAATGTAAGAAGACTAAGAAGATATTTTAATAAACCAGATAAGACATAAAACGTGGTACCTAAACTATTATTATTGTGCACCGTTGGCGTTTTGGGAAATCTGTACTGAACAATTTTATTTTTAGCCAACCGAGCACAAATCGTGCGGCAATGTTACGTGTGGTCTTCTTACCATCTTACCTGTCGTGTTACAATAACAATACGTTGCTCATAATTGCTGTGAAGGCAGGGGTCAGGGAGACAGTTCAACGATAGGTTTTGGTAAATCTTTACTTTAGCCATTTAGGACGTTGCCCGGAGTATACTGCGAGGGAGTGATTATCGTGGTTGACGGGGAAGTTGGAATTTCATTATAAAATGAAGCTGAACCATACAGGCCTCGGAATTTATCAAAATTTTCCATTAGTCATTTGTCGAAGTGACATAACTTCCACTAATAGAAACAGGAATAAGGAGGTTTTCATAACGTCGATTAGTTTGCATTATTCAAAGACGGGAGGGTAGATCTAATTTATAAAACATAGTATAAAAAAAGATATTTGTTTTTTTTTTATTTTAGTTAATATAAGATTTATGTAATAAGTATTTTTTTTTTTTTTAGGTAGTTGACTCTATTTTAACACTTAATATAAATAACATAATATGCTTTATTCATGGTTAATTATTTATATGTTGTTAATGGTTAGAATTGAATTAAATATATTAATTGAATTTTTTTGAAATTTAACTTGAAACTCAATTTTATAGATTTTTTTTGATTTTTTATTTAGAGCTGTAGTACAGACTATTCAGCTCAACAATTAAAGTTATATAACAGAAGATTAACAGTTTAAAATGCTTAATATTCAATACATAATAGTGACATTAAGATAAACAGAAATAATTATCGGAGAATTAGACGTAATTGGTAATTATAGGCTAATGAGATAGAGAATAAATGAACTATGGAATGGATTGTTTTTACAGTACGGCTATAAAAGAGAGAAATGAAGCGATTAATTAATGAAGAAACTAGAAAGGTCCGAAATAAATTTTTAAAAATGTGAACGTTAGTGGAATTTTTTGATAATGGAATTTTAACAGTATTTTTTCTTCCATAAGTTTTGAAAATAACTGCCTAACCCCTAACCACTCATACCAGCAGTCACCAACCTTTTGGACTTCATGGACCACTAAATCCATAACTCTAAATTTTACGGACCACGTATACTCATAAGTCTTAAATACTGTAATAATTTTAAAAGACCTTATAATATCACAAGTTTGATTATACGCCTTTAAAATAATTACAAATCAGCAGGTATATTGCCTTTTTTCTCCTGACAGCGACTTTTCTATTGATGCTGTAGTGAAGATTCTGAATATGTAAAAAGGTAATCAGTATATATTAAATAATTACAAGACTTTCTTTATTCGAATACACTTATATTAACTTAATTATAATTTTTCAATACACGAATTATTTAACATATATTTAATTTTATCTATAAACAATTTTAACACTTACATATTTTTGTATAATCGACCTGCGTAGTCTTTTACACTCGCTTGTGATCGTCTGTACGAAAAGACGGGAAAAACACTGTCCTTTGACCGGCGGTGATCGGCCTTTTTATAACTAATGTCCTATATGTGTGTGCGTGTGTATGTGTGCTATCTATTATTCCTTTAATTTTATCTTATTTAATACTAATGACTTATAACTATTTTAAATTATTTTATTTAAATATTCAATTTTAATGATTTATGATTGCTTAGACGCATATCATTTCAAATACCAAATTAAAAAAATATATTAAATTAACATACATTTTATAAAATATTATTAAAGGAATTTTTTTTTGTTTACAAAAAAATTATTTAAATTAGTTTTACTATTATTAATTACAAAAAAAAAAAAAAAAAAATAATAAATAATAATAATAATAAAAGTTAAAATGGGGATTGAATTCGAATTATTAGTGTTCTTAGAATATATTACGATAGTAATATTAGGTCTATTTATTTTATAACATGAGATAATAATTACAATATTATTACTCGTTTATTCTTATTTTTCGTAAACTGAACACGAATACAACGGAATTATACAAAACTTTTGTATATTACGATTATAAACACAAGTCACAACATTACAAATAATGTTCAAATTTTTCTGTGGACCACCAAATTTTTACCGTGGACCACCAGTTGGTGATAGCTGCTTCATACGGTTCACGAGCCGCCACTGTAGTATATTATGATCATGCACTTTACCAGATTCGCCGCGGTTAATGTGTTATGCTTGTTAGGAAAAAATAAGGTAACACTAATAAAAAAGACAACTCTCTGAACACTATAATTCAAGTAAAAAAAATAACACCGGTTTAGCTACTTGAAAAGAAAGGTCCAGTTGTCGCTTACAGAATCCTGTGTAAAAAGTGTAATGTATTAAGAGGTCTTGCCTGGGTGTAAGGTGCACATCCATCATCGAAAGAAACAATATGGTCAATTCAGCCAGAGAGGCTGGCGACTTCATCAAAGCCTTTGCGTTTCCACGGAACGACGGAACTAACCCTATCTTTGGCGGTAGAGACCCTTATTCGGCCTTTGTAATCTAACCTAACCTAACCTTCCCCAGTTTCTGATCACACACAAGAAAGTCACACGTCTTGTGCCTCATTGTCGCTAATACATGTCAATTTCTATGCGATCTTTACAATAAATTCAAGTCGTCCCTTTCATCAGTGATGAAAGAGTTATGTTTAAATTAACCGTTATTAATATTTAAGCTGTTGTACAATAATATGTCAGCATATCATTACAATATTATCACAAAATGGTTCTTTTATTTTTTTTTAAATCTTGTAATTACTGTGCTTTCCATTGGTATAAATGTATAATAATTTCTTTAACATTGATAACTAAATTATTTTATCTCGCATTCTCTATTAAAGTCCAAATCAATAATCTCTCAATAGTTGGTTTAACTTTATCTCCAAGTAGATATTCCTGTAATATAGTACATCTTGGTAATGGTAATTTAATTTTTCAACAATTTTTTTGAAACAAATTCAGTTTTCATTTTATAACATTTATTATTTTTGTTATCTTTTATAGAAACATGTTAATTATTGTTGTTATTTTCATTTATTTTTACAAGTTTTTACAAGACTATGCCTTCCAAGTTTTCCAGATACCCAACCTTTATTGGAGATTTTAAAATTGGTTACTGCGTCTTAATATTTTTTGAGATGAAAAAAATTATGGAATTGGTTTACAGCTCAAACACTTTTTAACAACTCAGCAGACATAAAATTTGAATTACTTTTTTGTATTTTGAAAATTTCACAACTTTTAAAACCTAAAAAAAAATTATATACTAATAATATTGTAAAGAGTAGTTGAGATTGGGTAGTTATAAGGAGAGTTCAATTTTTTTCTTACGTATCTGAAAGTAATCAAAAATAATTTTTTTAAGCAAATTTTAAACGTAAGTATGCTCCAAAAATGTTACATCTACTATACTTACACGCGTACCTAGCAGCCAACAGGGTTATAGATTTAGCGGAATGGATTTCCGTGATTATGAATAAAAGTTGTAATTTCAATAATAGCTTAAATACTGATTACATTTTGTAAAGTGCTGCGCGGCATACTCATGTGATATGTATAAACGTTTACTATACGTCATACGATGTACTACGTCTTGGCCGTTTGAACAAGAATTAACGGGTTTAATTTAATTTTATCGACTCAAATTGTTAATTACATTAAATATAAATCACATTAAATTTTCAAAATATAAACACTTAAATAATAAACAACATGAAAATAAATTTTAAAACAAAATAATTTAATTATAAAAAACTAGTTTACACATAAACCGAAAATGGATTTATTTAAGTGGCGGATTGGCTGTGGTGAAGTCTATGATTTACATAATTTCTACAAATGAGATGCTAGACTACATTTAACTAAGTCTAATTTTATGGGCTTATCCATATTTACAGATAAATTATGTAATCGTATAAATTTAATCTTATACTTGATTAAGAACTGAAGTCATTCGTATTATAATTATGTCAACAAAAATATAAATGGTCATATATATATGTCTGTTTATTTAATCATAGACAATTTATTATTTTGTATTAACTATATATGCATTTTGAAGACATACTATTTTATTACCTTCCTGTATATTTATAAAATTATATAGGTACATGGAGATCTAATATAATTATAAATTATAATAAACTATCTTACCTTGATTTAACTGCAGACTTGTATGATAACCAAAGGGGAAATACGTTGATTTGTTGTTAATGTATTTGTAATTTAAAATTAGACAATAACACAATTTATATATTAGTCTTAAAAATACTCAAAATTTAAATTTAAAACATTATAATAAATAAATAGTCCGCCACGTACGACCACGTTACTATATCCTGAGACATACGCACATGAAGTGCTGGAGTAGGACGGACAAAAGTGTTATCCGAGCTGAGAGAATTATTTATGTAGATAAAGACATAATACATATAATTGTTATGTCTCGACTTGGTCGATTCATGCATCAGCGTGAGAATGAATACGTGATGTATAAAGTGTACTAAAATCTTTATTTAACGTAACTTATTTTACAAAAATACGATGTGTGTAAATATAAGATGTTATAGGTGAACGGTGTACGACCCGACTCCAAAACTACTGATGTACAAAACCGGTGAATGCTGTAACGACCTGACTGAATGTCTTCCTAACCATCTACCAAGCTCTTTTGCGTCGAACTCTAATATTATAACCGGTTCATAAAAAGTGGTGGTCGTGACAGTGGCGACTCCGTTAACACGAGGGATCTCACATTAAGATTTGATATTCATATCAATTATATTATTTATATTCAGGGACGACTACGAGTTTCGACGTTTTCAAAAACTGAGCGACGTGTGATCATATCTAAATGGCTAAATTAAATAATAAAATGTTCACAATATTCGTCTTGGCCTCACATTGCTTGCATTATTGATTATAATACGTGTCGCTACACCGTACAATATTAGTTATAGGAATTCTTATACATAATATGTGTCATGGGCTTATGCCTCGTAACATAATAAACAATAAAAATTATGCTGATAGTCACTTTTGTTAACCATTATAAAGAATGGTTATTATTATAGTATTATATCTACACAAAAATAAAGATACTGATTATAACGTTTTATTTAAAATGTGTGTTTCATTATTTTATACATAAAAATATACTATAGCATGTAACTTGCAAGGGTTTTATCGATTCCGACTGATATTTGTCTATATTAATTCAACCAAATATTTGTTTATGTTGGTTTTATAAAGTATATTTTTTAATTAACAGTACAGGTTATAGTAGATAAAAACATTTAAAAAAGTAATTTATTGTCGTCCACAGCGAAAAATATAACACAAGTATACATATTATGTCAAAAAAAACAATTAAGTACAAAGTATAAGTTGATTTATTTTTTAAAATAGTGGTTTGATAGTGTTAATTTATCAGTTTTTTATTTAAATAATCGTCAAAAATTGTTGTTACATATTTTTTTTAAATTTCATAATTTCAAATAGTACCAATGTACCTACATCATACATGTAATAAAATATTAACATAAATGTAAATGTAAGCATTTTATATTTTGCTATTATTTAAGTAAATAATTTGCAAATATTCAATGAATTGTTAGCCAACGGAATCACGATGTAGAAAAGTTCGGCGGAGTTGATATGCGACTCAATCGATAGATTTCTTACAGGTAAAAATGTTATTTCGATAAAATCGATATACGCCCTAGAGCAGAGGTTCCCAAACTTTTCCTACCCGTGGCGCCCTTTTAGAACTGAAGTTTGCTCATGGCGCCTTTAATAAAATTTACGACTTTTTTTTTTAAATAATATAGATAAAATTCTTCGTCTTCACATGTACTCGTACGTTTACGATTGTTTAATAAAAATCGATCCATAATAATTAAACACAGAACAAAGTCACAATTTAAAGAAAATCACAGAACTTACTAAATATAATATATTCTTAAGAAACTTGAACAAAATGTTATAACATGTCGAGACTAATACCGGAGTGTATAGTTAATAAATAGGTACTAACACTACTAACGCAGAAATGAATTTCACCAGACACTGGCAGACACGAACAGTCGTTTATCTTTATCAAATACAATAATTGTTTAGTATAGTAATAATAACTTATTGTAAGAATCAAGATAATGGTAATAAAAATGACGATGTTCGTCAACGTAAAATATCGTTGTTTATTTTTAGACCAGATAACATAGTCGGCAGCGAGGCACAGCCGCGGCTCCCCTGACAACAAACCGCGGCGCACCAGGGCGCCGCGGTGCACAGTTTGGGAACCTCTGCCCTAGAGCATGCATACTTTGCATACTCATTTAATCTACGTTTACTTCAATATAAAAGGTTTTAAATTAGTTAAATTTATTGGTAACAACTTTAACATTCTATGCATATGTAACTAACTTGCTATGTAGGTACAGTTGGTTTTATCGAATGTAATAAGTTCAGACGTTCAGCGTAAGGTAATTAAATAAATTAAATACTATGAAATCAGCGATGTTAGGTGTCCTGTAGAATAATGATGAAAGAAGTAAGGATTAAATAAATAATAATACCGTAATAATATAAACAACATTTTAATAATTTTAATAATATTTGTACGCATGTATCGGTGAATTATCACGTTTAAATTGACTAAGTTTTGTTAACCTTTAACAGTTATTAAATTATTAAATATTTATGATTGATTACAATGAAGGAATTTTTTATTTAATAAAAAAAATGTACATGACGTGCATACCAAATAATCTGTAGTATTATTAGTATTAATAGCGCAACGGTTTGATAACACATTTTCCAGTAAAATCAGCGTTTTTTTTTTTTTGTTTTTTTTTTTTAATATCAATAAAACTTGTGCGATGAATGTTCGTACGGATGAAGTGACTTGTGATGATGACGATGATAATCGGTGGTGTCAGCGTACTCGCCGTGGTAATTGGGTGCGTCGATCTTTTTGACAACAGCGTTGAAACCGTGTTCGTGGTCAGCGGTGTACTCGACCACGCGGGTGGATCCATCGGGTTCTACGAGACGGTACGATCCTTTGACGTTACCATGTCCGTCACTCACCTCGTGTTGGCTCTTGATGTCATGTGTGTGAAGATCTCTCACACCGTACTCGAAATTATATGGCTTAGATGCATAATCGTAGTGATCAGCGCTGTAACTTTTGTACTCAGTGGGTTGGTATGCAACGGTTAAATGCCCAAATAAAGCGGCAAACATTATAATCTGGAATGATCAATTTTCAAATTTTTATTCAGTTGACAATATATAATCATATAGTATAGGTACAAGTGCGTATTACTGCGTGAATAAAAATAGTATTATTAAAGACAATATAATATATATTTTTTTTGCTTAAACACACCGACTGTCTACATTATAGATTACCCATGAAAATCGATTATATTATTTTCAACATAAAATTTTTTATTAACATTTCGTATTAATTATTAAACTTGATTTAGTTTACAAAATGACACGAAAACGAGAAAAAACTTTTAATTAGTTAAATATTAATAATAAATTAATAACTATAGGTACATTATTTATCATATTAGGTATATTTCAATTAAGAATTTTTTAATAGTGAGTAAGTAGATAATAATTATATATCATAATGATTTCAGTCTAATCTAGTTTGGTTACATCTACGATCTACCTATATGTCATAGTTATCAGGTTTGATTTTAATTTAATAAAACATATATAATTATATTAATATCATTAAAAAACGGAATTAAGATACTATGTGTAACATTTAACCCTAAGGTGTATTACATTAACCCTAGAGTCTAGGACGATTATAACTTTTTTTTTTTTTATAATTATTTATTGTTAATATTGATATTTAAGCAGCTATAGCAATATAATTAAATAGTTATCATGTTCCTTTATCAAATGACAACGTTAAAAATCAAAGACATGTACAACAATTTCTTAAAAATAGAAAAAAGTGTAAAATGTTACGTTTGCCCCCGATCTTCTATTGGGTTAGACTACTTGATTATGGTATTTGTAGAATATTATTTCATGAATATAATATGTATATGAAAAATAAATAAAATATTTATAAGTATATTTCATACAGTAAAACATTGTCAAAATAAAAATTCTAATTGTATTTATTTAAAATGACTAATGAGTAAATATTAAGTGCGTATACGACTATACAATTTAATCTTACCTTTATAGCCATTTTGAATATGTTGTAGATTATACACTTAAACAAAACGCGACGTTTGAAAATAAATTTTGTTTTATAAAAAAATAATTTAACTGATAATAATTGGAACTTTGTTTTTGGTATTTATACTGTAGAATAGTTATAGAAATCCCTACTTTATTAGATTGTTTACATAGATAAATTAAGTAAGGAATTGTTCAAATTACATCAACTCATTAAAAATAATAATATTTATACACGAAATGTCCATCTTTATAATTATTACGGACAATATAATTACATAATTAATTATACTTTTAAACATAAAAAACGTTACGAAAAATTAATGCATAAACTTATTACAATATCATAAAGATATATTTCAACTTACCTATAGGCTATAGCATATATAATATAATAAATAATAATATATGAATACCATAATTATTTGTTAATTTTATAACTAAGTTAAAATAATATTGGCCTAAATGGCTTAATCAGATTTTACAATAATTTTATAACAAACATACTATGTACAAAAATAAATAATTGTATAATTTTATTATTTTTTTAGAAATAATTTACACATACGTTTAGAAGGAATAGTTCAACTAATTATCACGTGGATTTTCTTAAAAGCTTAACTGTCTGCTGTCTGATTAATTTTGAAAACACTTTTGATAAAATATTATTGTACTGATACTGTTTAATATAAAAATATAATATATCTTATTTAGGTTGACCACTCTACGAATAGTACGAATACATATGATCAAATCAAATATAGTTAACTCTAAATTATTTGCAAAATTAGATGGCGTTGTAACCATATTATGGATAATCCAGCAAAATCAAGCCGAAAATTAACGGAAAAATGCTTTTAACATTATTTTATTACATTTTTATTATACATATATTATATATGTGTGTTATATATATATTATACATATGAAGAATTTTTATCGTGCAGGTATACCTACTACATCATTTCTATATGTTTCTTAAAATAATTCGGTCTCTTGGAGAACCACGGAAAATCAAGAGAACTGAATACATTCATAAATATAACTATATAATAACTCATCAGTTTAGTATAATATATTATAATTATTTTAAACTTTAATGTAGGTATGCGTTTGACCTGATCGGAACTTTGCTCGTTGAGCGCTTCAATAATCCTACATTGCCACACTTACACATTTGTGTATCGTGTAATATGTACTTATGTATACCTACAATGTAAGAACATACTGTAGGAAGAGATTGATATTAGTTCAAATATTAACTTATTTTGTGAGTTTGTGTAATAGTATCTATATACGTTCTATTTGATCGGCGTATACGATATATCTATAGGTACCTATGTTGCATAATATACGTAATACGTACGTATACCGTGTGTTCATCAATCTAGGGAACACTGAATTTCTCGGCCGGATTAAATTGGAACAAATCGAATTTTTTTTTTGTAAGCTAGTGGTATATAAATACACATTTATAGATCAATTTCAAAATTTTTATCAACTTGGTACGCGCATGCGCAATAAAAATATTATTTTTTTAATAGCAACACTTATTTTGAACACCATAGGTATTCGGTAATCGGTAGGCTTAATTTTTTTAAGTAATTCTGATGTATCGACTATGATTCTACATTAAAAATTGACTAAATAAAAGCCATTTCTTTTTTAATAAATAAATACATTTTTACGATTAATTAAAGTGCATAAAATCATTTATAATTATTTGTTATTGGTTACTTTTTGAATTTTTTAAATGTTTTAACGTATTTATTTTTTTTATACCTATATATTATGTAAATCTTGTGTATAACACGTATGAAAAAAAAAAATACGTAAAAACATTAAAAAAGTAACCATTCCTTTATAGTTGTTTAACTATAAAGATAGGAAATATTCAAAAATATAATTTTTTTAGAAAAATGTTTATTTTATTTCGCCTGGAAATAAAAAACGCAGTTGTTATCTGTTTACACATTGAATCACTTGCACAACACTAGTTTTGCACAACAAGTTATGATGAGTTATAAACTATAAATATACAAACTTAAAGTAATAAGGTATTTAGGATAAGTAAATTTTAATGTGAACATGTTGGTGTATTTTCTCTACTAAATTGAAACGAATAAATTTATTATCATAAAAATAAACAGTGTTAATTATATTTTTATATGATTTAATATAAAATTAATTTACTTGTTATGATAATACATATATGTGTAATTACAATCTACTCGTCAGAATTTTTATGCCATGTGCCCGTAAGCTCATTATACTATGACAACAATACGATTCTTGAGATTCTTCTTTAAATATTAAGCTGTGTACAAGATCATAAGATTTTGCAAATACATATTCATTTTTATTAAATAAAATATGTATTTAGGTATTTTTAAAAAAAATTAAAGAAACCTTTGCATGTAAGTTTTACAATTATTTATTCCTAAGTTTTGACTAGATAAATGAAATGTAAAACTTAATTTTAGTAAGTATATTAATATTATATTATGACGAGGGCAGGGATTTTGATGCAAATGTATCTTTTTTTTTTGGTGTTTTGAAACGATAGTCCTTATTTATAAAATATATTTTGGTGACACTGATTATTTTGAAATTGTTTAACAAAATTAACTTTAAATACACTTATAGGACATTTTCCACAATTTGTTCATAAAATGAATGAAAACTGTTGCGATTAACAAGAGACTTTCAGCAAACTGCCGACATATGTATAAATAATAAATTATATAGTACAAGTTATCGTCGATACCAATTTTTTAAATTATATTCTGCTAGAATGAATGATTAAGAAAATAGAAATATAACAGAACTGAACAAGCAACAATTAACAATAACGAAAAAAAAATACACTACTCATTTTAATGTTTATTAATTATTATAAATTTTTTTCAATTTTTAAACTATGATAAATATAATTTATATGCATTTTTATACTGCATTTTTTTAGAGAATTTTGCTTTTCTTTAAGGGCGTATTTTTGAGATTTTTTAGTGCATTAAGATTCCATCCTTAATTATAACAATTCTTATTTTCTGTTCATTTTGTATTATTATTTGATTTATTTTGGCTGAATAGATAATTATTAATTGAATAAATAAATAATTAAAAACCTATTAATTGCTATTGTCAACCATATAATGTTGAAATAATAAATACGTTTGAGATAGCAGTCTAACAGTTCGCTTTTAGAATCGTTTAAAGCAGCATATAGAACAATCCATTCTATTCTCTATAAACTTTATCTTTCGTAAATACATCCCATAAATAAACCATGCTGCAACCTGTCAACGGACAAACATCAAAAGTTTTGGAAAATCAAAAACGCTCAAGCTTTATAAATAAAATATATTCTAGTTCCTTGCCGAACATCAAATGTATTACTACTGACTGTGATGGTAATAAAGATGAGCAAGCCGCAGTTTCGGTGCAATCGACCCTTAAAGCATATCCAGTAAAATATGAGCCGATTGTATTAGCAAACTACGCCGGGCCTCAAATGAGGCGTATGATTGCTATAGTCAATCCAGCAATGATGGCTTCAGCCGAGGAAGATAAGATTCCACCACCTCATTCCTCATCGGCGTTAGAGCAGGCAGGTTTCGGATGACAATAATATCAAAAGCCCGTCGGAACCGGATGTGGCAAAGTCCGATGTCTCCGCTCCGTCTGCTAGAAGATGTATAATGTCAATGCCAAACATTAAAATAACTTTTACAACCAAAGTAATTGAAAGAGAGTGCACCTCGGTGGACATTTTGGAAGACATTCCAACTGGCACATCAAAGGAAGGGATCGAGTCTGTCGTGTATAAAGCTAAAAAATGTCGCCGTTCCTTATGGAAACAAACTAAAAAAAAATTTTCGCCGTTTATTTTGCTGCGCATAATGCAGTTTGTTACCTATTATTTATTTAATTAAAATTTAACGGATAATACTTAATATTGTTTAGTCATATTATGATAGCTAGTAGATATTAAAAATTTTGTTTGACATAAATAAAAATTTTTGTTGTGTTATTTTATCGGTTATTTGTTCGTTCTATTCAGAGACTAAAATTGTGTATAGTACGAAATGCCAAGTATGTACTTTTTTTACAATTTGTTCTCCATTAATTGAAAAACTATTGTTCGGAAATGATTAAGAAATTGAATGTATCAAAATCGGGAAAACTGTACCAACCCCTATTGTATAATATCATCTATGTTATCAATATTTTGATTATTTGTTTACTTTCTTATATTACTCACGAATATTGCTATTTTTAGAATTTTAATTGTATTTTAAAAACACCGATTAATCTTACAGTATACACTATACAGTATACCTAGTATTATGATTAATGTATGATAAAATAATCTTTGATTAAACTAATAACCATCAGTTTACGACGATCTATGAATCTATGACTCAAGATTTTGTTTTGATTAATATTTAATTAATTTACGTTTATATTTTATTTATTATTAGTTCTAAAATATTAATGATACATGAGTGGCTAATAAAAAAAAAAAAATTTGAACCAGCAACATCTACTGTTACAACTCATTACAACCATACTAATTTTGACATGCCTGTAGAGCATACTAGAGTTGAAAATAATATAAAAAATAAAATTAATACTTGTTTTGAAAAAGTTAGTTAAAAAGAAAGAGTCTCTCGCGGTAACTCCAAGTTGAATATAAAAAAGTGTGTAATACAAAAAATATACGTTTATTCTCTGGTTCTTTTATAAAATATGACAAAAATGTAGTAAGTTAAATCTCCTTAAAAGTCTTTTGTGTTTAATAGGTACGTTTGTATCACAATCATTTCAAACATCTACGATCTACCGATCGCAATGATTTAGTCACTTTTCTCCGATAAGTGGAATGTTAACAACAAGTTTTTCAAAAGAAAATTTTTATTTGAAATTAAAAATGTATGTTGTGGTTTCAAAAAGTAAAAAGCTTCACTAACCAATAATAAATAATTATAAATGATTTTACGTACTTTAATGAATCGTAAAAATATATTTATTTATTAAAAAAGAAATGGCTTTTACTTAGTCAACTTTTAATTTAGAACCATAGACCATAGACCATAGTCGATACACCAAAATCACTTTAAAAAAATAGGTCTATCCAAGTATGATGTTCAAAATAGGTGTTGCTATTTAAAAAAAATAAAATAATAATTTTATTGTACATGCACATACCCCGAAATGATAAAAATTTTGAAATTGATCTATAAATGTGTATTTATATACCACTATAGCTTGTAAAAAAAATTTCGATTTATTCCAATTTAATTCAGCCGATAAATTCAGCGTTCCCTAAATTAGTAAACACACGGTATATAAGAGAGAAATACAATTTTTTTTTATTGTTTTACTATAGGTGTATGGTGTATTGTATATTAACAATATTGGGAATATAAAAATGTATTTATTATATTGTTTTATTTACTTAACTTTTTGCACATCTTTTGTTAATCAGAAATGTTTAAATTTTCAAGATTGTTATTGTTTTTATTGTGTAAATGAAAATATCTTAATTTTACCTAAATTATTATGAATAGGTACTTACAAAAAATAAATAAAGTTTCCAAGATTTTGAAAATGTTAGATATTTTCTTTTTGTGTCCATACAAAATCATTGCGTACAGAAATTATTGTTCCATGATACTAATGATGAAATTACTAATAACAATTCAAAATTTCAAATACATAGGTATAATAAATTATATAATATATATTATACTAATCAGATGTTACCGTTGGTAATATGTTGTATTAGTATACCACGAATTAAGAATTAAAATAATTAAAAACAGCTATAATCGCTAATTAGCTAGGTACATTCACTGTTTTTATTAAGGTACATACTACATATTATTATATTAAACCGTGGTTATATTTAATGTTTACATATAAATTATATAACTATTTTATACCATGGTTAGTTCTTTTTAATGACCGATGAGTATTGAGTAAGTAAGTACCAAATATCCATAATCCATATGTCCGTATAGTAGCAAACTAGCAAACTATATAGTAAATATTATAGCTATAGCCTCAGGCCTATAATATGCTAATCAACTGTAACTTGATTAACTTGTGTTCTACACTTCTACGTAGTACATAGGTATTATTACCTATATCATATCTAATATTAGGTACAAAACTACGGAATATAAATGTATTAATATTATTAATAATAGACAATAATTATTTATTAGTGTAATATATTCATTCAAAAGCGTAATACTTAGCTCAAAGGACTTAGCTAATACTTATTTTATTTTGTTAAACCTTTACGTCTTGAACAATGGAGAAGTCGCTTGAAAAAAGTTGCAAGAAATCGTTATTTGATACTTTTCTAGAAGAAATAAAAAATGAAGAGTTAGAATCTAATAATCCAAATAATGAAACATCTATCGAAAATACGATAAGCATGGATGATGAGAATTCTTCAATTAATAACCAAGACAATGTTTTGAATGAACATAATAACTGTGATATTATTGTAAAGTACCTACTTTAAAACAATATAACTATTACACAAAATATAAAGAATATTTTTGATTTTATAATAGCTTAAAGCATTTGATGATGCATTTGAAACAATTTATGGCAATAATGAAGTGAGCTTTATTCATATCCAGAAAATATCTGAAGAACTTCAAGAAAATTGTATACATATGATAAATACAATTAAAACCCAAAGTGAATCAAGTAAGTACTATCTAATGTCATTAAATATTTTAACTTTAAATTAAATTTTATTAGGTACCTATATTACATTTAATTACCTATTATTGACTATTACAAATTAATACTTCCAGGAAGCCGTGTATATTGCTGTATGCTTATATACATGTATACTTCTACAATTACACAGTGTCAAGCTGACCACCATGAGTGCTAGACCATGAACATAGCAGAAGTCTCTTGCTATGTTTGGGTGGTTCAGTAGTTGCATAGGTCCTATAAGCTCTAAAATTTATAAAATATTACCATGCAATTACTGTCTTGTGCATGTTTATTTTAGCATAAATAATAAATAATAATGTATTTGTTTATCATCCATTTGATTAAGTAAATTTAATATTTTAATATTTATATTTTTTATACCTACTTAATATTAAATATCAAGTTAATTTAATATTATATTTTTAATATTTACTTTTTTATACATTAAGTACAGAGATTTTAGTATTTTTAATCCATAAAATACTTTGTTATTACTGCTGTAAATATGGCTTATCAATTTTACCGTGAAATCCAAAATAATTTTTAGAAATTTTATTAATTAGTGTTTTACAACTTATATTAACATTGAAAGAGATTCAATAGGAATCAAGGTACAATTAAATATCAAAAAGTATAGGATCCCTTAAAAAAATTCTCTAGAAGCTTTTAATATGTCAGTTATCTTCTATAATTTTAAATTAGGTGTTTTACTTTTAGATTAGGTACCCTAAAATCACAAAAAAAAAAACGATTTTACATGATTGTATTTTTTTTGTTGCATATGGGTTTGAAAAAGAAACAAATATTGTTCTGATATCCTCTTGAGATTTATTTTTGGTTTTATTTAATAAAATCCTGTTTAGTTGTTTATATTAAAGATAAATTAATTTAAGTACATGTGATAATCCTATTGTCTTCTATTCTCCATTATATTTATTTTTTATTATATAAAATAATCCTTGTTTGTATGTTTCTCTTATTTGTGTTCACCTCATACATTTTTTCTAATTTAAATAAATTGTTCACACTTTTTTTGTTTTTTCAAGTTGAAATTGAAAAGTCTAAATATAATTTATTAGAAAAAAAATCTGCTACTACTATAAATAAGTTACAATTGGAAGTCACAAAACTAAATTTGCAACTCAAACAACAATCTTCATTTAGTTCTATTGTTGGATCTACACTATGTTATTATTTGTGGAAAACAACTCAAATATCTTCAGTAGTTGATATGGTTTTACAAAAAGTAATTATAAGAATTAAAAATATAACTTTTATAAATTTGCATACAGTACATGTACAATTTTATCATAGGCGCAAAAGGCTCAAATTTTTTATTCATTTCCTATTTGCGCCAATTTGCTCTGTCCGTATTTACTCATAGTAATATTTACATTTGAAATATTTTAGGATAACATAACAAATATGGCTAAATTTATTACTAATATACTTAGTTCTTTTATTAAAACATATAATACACAGATGCCATCAATAAAAACAAATGAGGCACAATTTGTGTTACATATTTTGAAAATAATAGCTAATCTAACAATCACAAAAAGTGGTTGTCACTTTTTTTCACAAATAAATGATGGAATTAATATTATTAATCTTATTGTGGCTTTGGTGTTGTGTACACCTCCTGATACATTAAAAAAGTAAATATAATAACTTTTATTACTTTTCTTGCATACAAAATTAATGTATAAAGACTTACACTTTACATTGTTAAAAAATATTTTTTCTTTAGAAGTGCTTATACGATATTGTATAATGTAAGTATTAAATTTAATGGATACTTGCTTATGAAAAACAATCAACTCTTACAAACATTACTAAATGATATCAAAGTAGCACCTACTAAGGACAACAACATAATACTGTTATCTTTAAATTTGCTACTTTCTTTAACTAGAAAAATGGATAAGTCAATGTATATGATTTTTAAAAATGAAGTAAGTATTATCTAATTATAGACATATTTATAATGTATAAATTATAGTAAAATATATTTAAAATAAAAATAATGGCGTCAATTATACCTCAAAAGTTAAAACATAGTATCATAAAATTATTTATTATAGTTTTATTTTATTTATTTTACTGATTGTAAATGTTAAAATAATGCATAATTTTGCTTGTTCAATTCTTTATGTTCCAAATACTTGAAATACTATCCAAATATTGAAATATCTAATGATGGTATTAATTTATATTTAACAAACAATAGTTTACTAATAGATAATTTCAGTATCTACCTATTAGAATTGATTACTAGGTATGTTTTATACTTAGATAAATTTACAAGAAATACTCAAGTTTACAAAATATACAGAGACAGAATTAACAGCCAGAAAAATCCTTGATAACATTAATATTGCTAGTGAAAAATTTAATAAGTCTGAATAAATATTTGATAAATGTAAAATATTTTTTTTTACAGACATCTAATTTATTTATATCTAAATTTATTACCTGTTATAATTTATATCTCGTGTGGTCAGTTTTCAAACAATTGATATTTATGTACTCAATTTTGTTTAAATATTAAAATATTTAATAAATAAATAATTTAATTTGATTGATAAATATTTGAAAGAAATGTATAAAAGGGGCAATGAAAATTTATTTAGGTACATATAATATATATTGAATAAATAGTTAATATTGTTTTATTTAAATTTTAAATGTATTGCAATTTTGAAAAAAATGTTTCACGTTTGAAGCATCTAGATAAGTCATTGTATAAGTATAAGGTTATATTGATAGTTGTTGTTTACCTATCAGTTTGGCATAAACAATGTACTTTCATATTATAATCATGTTTATACATTTTTTAACAACAGATTAGAATCTTAACATTTTCTAAAAAACCAAAGTATCAAATTAAATTTAATAAAAACCATCTAGTCTTAAATCCATTTTTTAAATCATATTTACGACTTCCAAATGAACCACTAAAATGCATAACATTACCTTGAGTTTTTAGTAACTTTTAATAGTTAAATAAATTTTCTTGAGAAGAAATTAGAACTAGACATAAAAATATTTGTTTCTGACAAGCAGTGATAAAATCATATTTTATAATAATAAGTACAAAATTAATAACAAAACATTTATTATTTATTATAATTACTAAATACTTGAATAATTCATCTTCAAGCAAAACATTCCCTTATGTTGAAATTGCTTTAGAAACTTTATAATACAGTTAAAACAAAGAAATATGGCATCTGATTCGTTTTGAATAATATTTATTGTTGATTAATTAAACAATATTCTAATAATGTAGAGATTTGTATTGTCTTGATAAATGAGTTATTGTAAACATAACATAATGGTTTTGGTATAATTATAAATGTAAATAAAATCTCAGCTTCTGTAAAAAATGTATCAAATATCATTTTGAAGAAAAAAAATAATGAAATATAATTGACCAAAAGTAATAATGGTTATTGATACTATCTATACACACACGAAACACAACTATTGAAGAAATCATCTTACAGAAATAAATTAAGAACAATAGTAACACTGAAAAAATCTAAAAAAATACTTTTCAAATCATTTATAGTTTGTAAGTTTCATTTTAATAAACATATCATAGAATTAATAATATTATATATATATATATAACATATTATAATAGTATTAAAAATTTTTTAATCATGTTTCTAATGAAATTTTAAAAATTGTCTGTTCTATAATTTGAGCTTAGTATGGGGATAGCAGATGTAAACAATTTGGATTTTAAGACGAATCAATACAATTTACAATACTGTAATCAAATTTATAAAAATAAAACATTACACTACCATGGTCATGTTTCTAGGTGATGCTATTAATAAATGTTTACTCTGTAGTCATTACTAGATATTTCATAAAATTATTAGTGATTCTGATCCATTTGATCTTTTTGATTTTTATCACAATGACAGTGTCATTTTCTCATTTTTCTCAAAATCTAAAAAGAAATATGTGTAAATACATATCTGTAAAATTGTATAATTTTGTAAATTTTATAATACTAACTAAAAGAAAAATTCAACTTTTTATAATAATATTGTATATAATTATACTCATAATTTTAATTGTACTTAAACTTCAATATTAACATTTAAGAATACATATATTTGTATTAACAAAAAATTGTGTCATCTATCTGACTTGTACAAATTAATAGTATAATGGTAACACAAAAAACTTAAACTTAATTATGAGTTTGTATAAAAAGTATTCTTAAAAATACATTACTTTAAACTAAATGATTAAAAAGAACATTTAAATGATAAAAATTAAATTTCTTTTCATTTTATACATCAATATTATAAAAAAGATTAAATTTAACAAAAATAAATAACTATGAAAGTATAGGAAGTTTTAATATAATAGCATTATCACAGACATTCATGCTCTGAGGTCAATCTTAATGACAGTACGTCCAACATGAGTTATCAAAACCAGGACATACTTTACTCGATTGCATCATTGATGAAGAAGACCAGGCAAATCAGCTAAAGTCGGAATAAATACACGCCTGGATTCATCAATGGCACCTCGACACAGTGGACAAGTTTCACAACGTTTAACACATGTTCCACAAGCAATAACATGACCACATGGAAAAAACACATGATCAATGGTGGCATCCATACAAATTCTACATGTAAGAGCATCAATGAGTTTGGCCAGTTTGTAACTATCTTGTGAAGTAGCAGGCTCAGGTTCAGGTGAACTCAACACTACTGTAGAGCTGGATGGTGTGACTTTGTTTTGCTTTTCATAAAGAGCACGACGCGCATTATCATGCACTTCACGACAAGTCCTCTGTATGTCGAACACATATTTCTTCCCTAATGGTGAATCTTCATTAAATATAGATATAATAGTACCCTGAAAATAAAATTGTGACATTAACAACAGTTATGTAACATTATTGCATTTAGAAATTATTAAAGGTCAGCTTTAAACAGAAGAACATTTAAATATATTTGCAATTGCATTTGATTAAACACTTTTACATGTTCATTGTTTATATTCAAGTTTAGATGAAAAAAAATGATAGAATGTTATGATAACAAAAGGTGTTTACATGATTAGCTTCATTTTTTTTTACAATTCATAAAAAAAATTTAATAATTACCTTGAGATCTCTAATATATTGTGATGTAACGGCACCTCTGACAGTTTCACAACTATAGAATGCATGCTTCTCTGTCAGTGCTCTATAAAGAGTATTTGCACCCAGACTAGATTCTAATTTCAATACAATTAGTGTTTCAGAATGTTCAACACCTGCCAAGTACCACATCTCAAATACACGGCGATGGCTAGCAGCACTACGGATCGCAGTATAAGGAATCCTAAAAAAAAAATACATTGTACAACATTAAACAATATTAATAAAAAAAATTATATTGAAACAGTATACAATAATTTTGAAATAGAAAGAATGAGTTCAATGTGTGAATATTCACAAAACTCTTTACAGTTGATATGGTCAGTTCTAATACTTACATTTGTTTTTCATGATCAGGTTGATCTGGGTGTTCTAGACTAATACCATGAGGTCCAACTCCCACCAATACTGAAGAACCATTAGTTGTTCTACCTTCAAATACCTCTTCACCAAAGTTTTGTAGACCAGAAACTTCTTTGATTAACCAATATTCAGCAGTTGTTTGTTTCATACCCTTAAAAGATAACAATACATTTATAGAATTTAGAATTAATAAAAATATACCACACATACTTTCATTTCAATCTGAAGACTTTGAATTTGATCAACTATGAACTCATCATCATCTTTAGATACACCCAAATGTTCACACCAATAGGCGAAAAACTGTACAAGAGCAACCGAATCATCGCAATCACCGAATTCTGCCTGTGCCAATAATGCAATAGTTTTACATATTGCTTGGCTATCTGTTGGTCTTAAACGTCCTTCACAAAGCTCTAACTTGGCATGCAAATAAAACTGATGACTATAACAAAATAATGATAAAAATAAATAAACTGATATTTTATAATTAATTGTAATAATTGTAATAATTGTAACATTTGATTTCAAAATATTTTTGAATAAATTTTAATTAGTATAATTTATTTTCAACATTATTATTTAACATTAATTATTAATAGTTAGTACCTATTTAATAATTTAAATTTACTTTATCAAGATACATTATTTTTTATATATTTAATACTTAATAGGTACTCTTATATTGTATAATATTATGTATTATTCACCAACTACAAACACTATATAAAATCATAATTAGGCCTATTGTATTTATTAGTTGAATAATAACCAAAAACTAGTGAAAATTGTTTTTATTTTATCTATGCTCAATTATAGAATCACGAGGAAAAAATCAAAAGAAAAAGGACTTACAAATATGGCTTATGTAAAATGTATTAATACAGAACGTATAGATTAAACAGTATTATAAGTTAAATCGTACTTTAAAATTAGAGATTTACGTAATTATGTTTTTATTTATGAAAAAACTTCAGTTACAAAAATCAACAAAACGAGATTAAATAAAAATAAAAATTGAGAAGTCGGAACAATGAAAAAGAAGGTTTGTAATTTATACCTTAACAACTTAATACACCTTTCTAATACACCAATCTAGTATCTAATATTTTTAAGTTTTAACATAAAAGTTTAAACTGTTTCAGTATAGGTACTTGTGTTTGTTTTATATAAAATAAATTATTTAGGTAATGATATATATACTTGGTATTATTTAAAATATAATACACAATATTATAATAAACATTATTTTTTTACCACGGAAGAAGGTACTGATTATTGAAACATGTGTATATATGACAAGAATTTGTCACCAAAAACTTGGATGGTCAGTGGTCACCAGGCGATGCTTGACCTCAGAACACGTTAGCGACTGAGGCCAACCACTATACCACATCAGATCACAAAAACATTATAATTACAATCAGAGATAATGAATGCTTTATTTCGTGGTAAAAAATGTGCTAAAATCAAAAGGTTCTAATTTTAACGTAGGCTTATTTTTTTAGGTAATAGCTTTTTCATTCCAGAGACCCCTATAACATTAATTATAATTTATGGAGAATGGTAATGCTTAAAAATGCTTACAAAATAAGCAATTTAATAGACGATGATGATAAAGGTGAGGCAAATGCAAATAGGTGGTGACCCAATATAGCTAATACTTTTTTTAATTTCCATTTCCATAGATACTAGTAAAACGATAATAATAATAATTATTATTATTATATCATTCAAGGACAAACCTATATACTTAAAACAAACAAGTTATTGCTATAGAATATATAAATGATAAATGGCCCATACTCATATATTTTAAACAAAACCAAGAAATATTTTTTTTTCTATGTACAAAACGTTTGAATAACATATGTTGCGAATTTACGGAAAAACTAATTAGTAAATCTCTAAATTAGCTGTTACAACTTATATTTTATACTTTTGTTACAAGTCGATTTATGCCTTATGAAGTCATGAACATTGATCATTAAATTATGCATTTTTGTTTTTATTTTACCGATAAAACATTTAGAAAAAACCATCTAAATGTATTAAAATGTTGAACTGTCTTTAGTATCAAAACATTGAAGTTTTCTTAGATAGTAGTGTAAACATGTATTATAAATAATAAAAATATATTGTGAAACATAATTCTTTTATATCCATGAACCTAAACCGGTTTTACCGAATTGCATAAACTGCCCAAATATTCACAAATCTTCTAAGATTTAAAATTAATTATATTTTAAAAAATTCGAAATTATAATACGACCACAAGCCCACATAACAGTGTGATAAACAGAATATTGAGACTCAGTATTCCAGTATATTTGAAACAAGTATACTCGTATAATTAAAAATTATAGTATCTATGATTAACTTTTACATATTGTCTATTGATACCTAATATTATTTTATTTTATGCAGGTTTTTTAAAATAAATTTTCCAGAAGTAATCACAATAGCAGTTATTCTAAATATTATAAAAATTTAAAAACCGTAAAAATATACCATTAAAAATCTTTTTTTAATTAGCTTATTAGTTTCTTACTCATAATAAGAAAAAAAATGATGTGATTAAAACACGCAAACACGCTACGGATATACATTCTATTAATATTCTTGGTAATTCAAAGTTAAATATTTCATAGTTCTGAGAACAATTAAAATAGATTTAAACTATCTACTATATAATAATTGACTGCATATCATTTTTAAAAAAAGGATTATGAATCACTATTGTCATTGTGTGCAATAAGTCTAATATCGTCACTTCCAGAATTTGTATCGTAATAATCTAAAAGCCATGAACTATGTTATTATACTCGTACCTACTCTTTAATTACACATATGACTTAATAAATTCATCAAAACATTTTATTTGAGATACTATGTCTCTAAATTGTAAAATAAAAATAAAAACGCATATTAATATTTTTCATAATTGAATAATGACATTTATCTATACGTACGCATTTTAAATTTGATAATGGAAGCAATTAATTCACACGTGTTTATATTTTAGACGAAAAACAAAACAATTATACATTTATTGAATTATGAAGCCATTAATCAACAAAATCAGTTAAAATGACGTAAAAAGAATTATATTAATAAGCGTCATAATGTTTGTTCAAATAAATCCGAGATTGATTATAATATAATTTTTAACCAAACTAGCATCATATTCATATAGGCGGCACTTATATTTTTTTCATCTATGCATCATTTGACCTTAACTCGCAAGTAAGACCATGAAACAATTTTTATTTGTGTAATACCTGATGAATACGGAAATTAACAATACGATCAATAGAAACTAATATAATATAAAAAGTAATGATACTTTTCCTCATCTAAAAATATAATGAGTATTTTAATTTGAAATTCATAAATTAATTATAAACTTTTCTCCAAATACTCATGAAATGTTATTGAACAATAAAAATAAGTTTAATATAAACATAATATGATTAATTAGTTATGTACTAAACTAAAAGTACCTAATTAATTCTTTATTTCTTTGAATTTGACAAGGAAAATTTGTTAACAAAATATTTAATTCTTAATATGATGAATTAAAATAATGAATCGTTGTCAAATACGTGTAATAAAACGTAGAATCTTGATATATATAAAAAATATTTACCTTTCAAAGACATATGATGTTCATGTGGTACCAAAAAGTGGGATTTAGAGGAAATTATTTAGTATATTAAATGTTACATAACATCGTACCTAGTGGGAGTTAGGGTTCAAATCCTCTTACAAAATTTTATCGGATTATATAAACTTAGGAATTTAAAATAAATTTCTTTTATTGTTTTTATATTTCATAACTTATCTACCCCTTCCTGGAAAGATGGTTTTAAGTATAACCTTGAAATTCTATTTACTTATAAGGTTGTAAACAACATACATTCAACATTTGAATAAATTATTTAGAAAATAAATTGAATATTAATCTTAATTGTGATGTTATTTACTAACTTTTAAGAGTCAAAATAATAATTAATGTATTTGTAATTCAAAGTGCGTAATTGTAAATAGTGCAAATTCCCAATAGTTCGAAAATTGATAAAATATAAATAATTAAAATGTGTATAAAAACATATGTATAAATTATTTTAATAATCATTTTCTTGATATATATATATAAAAAGAAAAAATATAAGATAAAAACTAGATATTTTAGATAGTAATAAAATTAAAGTGTTGAATAGAAATAAAACAGTAACAATTTAAAAATACCTACCCAATAAGTTCTAAAAAAAATTATTCAATTATTAGTAATCTATTTTTAATGCATAGCTTGAGGAATTTTAACATTCATAACTTAAAAGGATCATCAATAAAAATACATTTAAAATATAACATTGCTGCAATGGGCTATACTAGTAAATAAATAACTCATTAACTATTGCATTTTGAGAAAGGAATAATGATAAAATGTTATAAATCAATGCTTTTATATATAAAAAAAAAAAAAGATTAAAATCTTAACCGTAATCAACAAAAATAATTTCATAATTAATAAGTTATTAAAATATTGAAGTATACAATCCATTATTTAAACTATATTTTAATGTAATTGACTGATCATTATGGAAATAATTTTCTAATATAAAATTGACAGTGTTTTATAAGCCTGGAAAATTAATTATTTTACCGTCTACGAAATAAGAATAGAGATTAATACTACAAAAAAATTTTCTGTGTATTTCCGGGCATTATGAACAACGAATGACGTTCGAAATAACTACCTATAACCTATATGATGACCTATTATAAGACCTTTGTAGTTAATATTGACAATGAATTGTCGTGATAGATTTAAATAATTGAATAATTTAATAGTATTCTTCAATAAACGTATAATAAATTTCGTTGCATGATGATTGATGAGATACAAAAAATATTTCATATTAGTTGAATTTATTTAATTTAATTTTCGTAGATAAATAAAATTATTATGTTAAAAACATAATATGACAACAAAAAAACTAACGACTCTATTAAATAAATGTTGGAGTATGCCAAGCTGAAGGTTCTGATGAATGTCTACACCGATATAAAATTATTTTACCACATTTGTTGATAGTTAAACAATATACATAGATTCCGTGCAGCACGTCACGTGCGCCACAACATGAACAAGTAGTATAAATACTCATTTTAACAGAAGAGAAGATAGTACAAGTAGTATAACTAGAGTTAAACATATTTTTATCTGCATTGTGGTTATAATACACACCTACATCTAAAAGCAACATACAAAAAATAAAATAAAATATTCATGACTAAACAATTAACCGAGGTAGGTAAGTATAATTACTTAAGTCCAATAAAAAAACATAAAAAGACTAACATTTTGTATTCTTATCAATAGATGATAAGCATGAACATTTTTTAAGTCCTTGAATAAACAGTATAAATATTAGCTTGTTAAAATAAGTAAAAATTTAATAAATAATCATATTAAATAGATAATAGATTTTAATTGCATCGGTAAAAATAGTTATTTAAATAAATATATCATATCGTTCATTTTTACTAATTTTGATAACTGAATATTTTTAATTGTATTTCAACATCAAAATTATTATATTTTTCATATAAATTTAATTTATATAAGACCATAGTTGAATGTCGCATGTACTGATGTGCTGTGACGGAAGCATGACGCACAACAATTAATTAACAATAAAGAAACAGGCGATGTTATTGAAGCACGGGACGAGACCCTTGTTTTATAATCATGATGAATGACGTTTCCCGGAGCTTTTGTTTAGTTTACTCTGTGCAATTATTATTTTAACAGAGTATATAATAATATGCCGAAACAAAAATTCGATGTGACAATAAAGATAATATTATAATCACATCACCAGAGCGTGAATAGATAATTCCAAAACCAATTATATTGATTGTGATATAAAAATATTAGAGGTTACTTTTAAAAACGTCATTGACATCAAGAAGTAATATGAGAAATTTGTATCTGCTATAACCCATATACGCATAGTAACAATAGTAAAAATTAAAACAATTTATAAAAACCAATTAAATTGGTAGGTACTAATACCATGTGTATTCGTTGATAAATCAATAATTGCATTATACTCGAGTACATGGTTATTAATGTTATTAACTAAATTTACTCTGTGCGTATTTATTTATCAAATTTCTACATTTAAAGGTCGTTCAACTTATCTTGACATAAATAAAACAGGCTACAATAACTAATACAAAGTCCGATTTTCAAATGTGCCCCTGTAAAATGTAGAATTCAATCAATATTATTAACAACAAATAAATTAAAAAATCAAAAAAATCCATGAGAATAAAAATCGTTTTGCTAGAAAAAAAATTCCCAGTACAAAAAGTAATCAAACTCACTCATAACAGTGTCAAAATAATAATCAACCTCTATTGGATGTGTTAAATTAAATTTTTGCATATTTTTTTGATATTTTTGAACTTTGTAAACAATCTACGAATTATACTAATTAAAATGCATCAATAAAATATTATTTTACACATTATGTTTGTATATTTAACCATAATATCATTATAAATAAGTAATTTACTCAAATATACTTTAGCCAATTTAATTACATTTTACTAAAACACAAAAATTAAAAGTTTATAAACGTTGATAGATTTAATTTAATAAATATAATATGGTATTCTTTTATTTTATATAAATTAGATTATAGATCAGGCATATCAAACTCAAAGTATCAAGTGTGCCAAATATATTTATGTGGGCCACACATAAAAATTTAACAAAATAAATAAATATTTTATACACATTTTTCAATTTTATTCTTTATGTTTACGAACACAACAGATACAATAAAATTAAAAAAGGTTAGCTTATCAAGAGATAAGACAGTAAAATAATGTATAACAAATTAACCATTCTCTAAGAATCCAAGATAGTTGTGACACGGCGTTAATATTTTATTATTATTACTTTTTTTTGTCCATTAATATTGATAACCACGGGCCACAAAAAATGAGCTGAGGACTGCGTGTTTGACATGCCTGTTATAGATCATTAACACATATCTACCGAATACCAATATAAAAAATATTGATTTATAATATAGTTTATTGACTATCTATCCGAGTGCAAGTGCAAGGACAAATCACCTATCAAAATGAAACGATAATACTGCGATACCTACGTCCTAAAATATACCTGATAAAAATGATATGAAGTATTCATATATCTATCTAAAACTAAATTTATCAAGTTAAAAACTTTATCTAATACGATAAATATAAACTAAAGAAACGTAATGATTAATACAAAAATCAATGATTGTGTACAAGGTCAATAACCATAAAATGTAACTAAATAACAATCAATAAATAATATATTGTAAGTAGCATTGAACCCCAAATTACGAAATTTAAGGAACAATCTTTAATAATACTTTATAATAAAATAAAGGAACAAGGCCAACATTTGTTTAAATATATATAAGAACAAATTAAACATTATTTTGACGGCCTTAAAATAATACCATGCAAATTATATGTTAAAATAATATTCACAGTTTGGTCGAGAATATTTCTAAGACTTTCACTTTGCATTGTTATTTTTAGTATGATTCACTCCAATATTAAAGCTAACTACACAAAAAATAAAATTACCATGTCACACATGGGTTAGAAAGAAAAAATAAATAGTGCACAAACACCACAGACATCCTCTCAAATAAATAAAATTATATATTAGTATATGTATAGAATATAGATCGCATACTAAGATTGTTCAATGATCAAACTATAGATACCCATGGATATCCCATGGATATTATCCATTATCCGAAAATAGTTTATAATACAGTATACTCATAATTACTTAACAATTATTAAACATAAAGCTAATTTGTCAAATTTCTATCAAAGATCAAATAAAATTGCTAACTAAATACAAATAAAGGTATTTTAATAAAATTTTTGTTAATCATTAACTTTGCTTTAAGCATAATTGGATAAAATCCATATTTAACAAAAATTACTAATAGCTAGTAAATAATTATAAACAATGAACACTAAAAATAAATGTGCGTATAATATATAATTATATAATTAAGTTGATACTTAATACTTATTTTTTAATTTCTACAATCAGATTATCACATTTCCCTTGCACTCAATGTAATTTAAACATTTTTTAAGAATACAATCCACGTACAATAGTAATATTAAAATATTACTTATCATAATTTTATTAGTTGCTTAATCTAAAAAATTTGACATAAAAGTCAAAGAAAATTATACTACACAATTAAAAATGATATTTAAATTAAAAAATATTAAGACAGAATATTATACAACATATTATATTGTATTACAAACTAATACATTTTAAATTATCATAAAATGACTCAAATTAAACTAAAGGTCCTTACACACTAGGAGAATAGTTCACGCGTGGAAACAATTTTGAATCGCCGCGAACATTTGCTTAAAATTAAACAACTTGGATTAAATTAGACCATTCATACTAGGTAAAGCGAGCGAATTAAATCGCATCAGCGTACAAACTATTTGTCAAGTATGTAAGGGCCTTAAAATTAAATTTCATTAAAATTCAAAGAAAATATTAACACAATTATGCAAACATAAATAACAAAAATCCAATAATTGAAAATCATTTAATATAAATACCAAATGATAAAATTCTAAATGGTATATAGTGGAAAAACATGAAAGTTTTAGTTAATATTTTCAAAAACAAATTTAAAAATGTTAATCAAATAAAAAACAAGTAATAATTTAACAGGTATTATTGGTATTAATCCCAAGTAATGGTATCTACTACTTTCTGATTATTTAAGATTGTGTATTTTGATTTCATAATATAATACCAGGATATATAACAATATTAACTTTCAACCCAAGACTAGAATGGAGACAAAACTCATAAACTTATAAATAGAAGTATTATAGTTTAAACAAAATTTAAGACTTATTAAAACATAAAAGTCAAAGTTGATTTAATCCTTAATATTTTATAATTTTACATAACTAAGTATTGTATTATATTCAATTTTATTTATGATTTAGTAATAAATTATTCATAAAAAACTTTTTATAGGAGCATTTTTATTTATTTTTTAATCCTTTAACTCTCATACCAGTCATATCCTACATTAATACTAAAGATAATATTTTGAGTCCATAATTACATTAATACAGCACCCAGGTATCTACTAATTCTACAAGTATAAATAATAATCATTAAAACATTTTGTGTAAATCTAATAATTAGAAAAATGAGTATATAATACATTTTAATTTTTTAATTGTAACTGCAACCAAAAGCTTTTAAACTTGTAACTGAAATCTAAGAATTTAAAAAGCTGTTCATAAAACCTGAGTTACAAAATTTATATTTAATTATTTTCATACAAAGAGAATACTATATTAGAATTTATTAATAAAAGCCTGATGATATTAAGAAAAATAATTTATGACCTGCTAAACCTAAAAATTTAACAAACAGGTCATAAAACCTAAAATAAAACAGAAAATTTTCAAAAAATGTTCTGGGAACCGAAATCTTTAAAATTTGAAATGGTTGCAAGTTCTGCTTTCTAATAGAATGTTATACTAATAGTCAGTAGCTAATGCAAAGACTATTTAAGAAAAAATAAGATGTTAACAAAGTTAATATTGAAAATGATTTGATTTTATAATTATAAAAAGTTTGTATTTTATATTGAATTACTTAATATTAATGAAATATAATATACATTAATTTTCTTCTATTACAAATTCATGTCCCTATACTAAAGTTTGACTTAAATAACCTAATTATTGATAATAAATAACATTATGGTGCTGAAATAGTAGTTATCATCAATGATTGCATATAATGTCATTTACTATACAGTCAATTTTTATTAAATATATTATACAATATATTTAAGCAAAACATATAATTATGTAATTATATTTCCTATCATAAAAATTAAATTTCTTAAGTTATACACTTAAATTCAAGCAAATGTATAAGTTAAATCTAAATAAATATTTAACTTAAACATCACCAATTATAAATTACCTACTCAATGGTAAATTTCCATTTTAAATTTAAGTTTTCTATAGGTGTGTTTAAGTAATTGTTATTTGTTAATATTTAACTAAATTTATCTAAATAGTAAATAAAAAGCACCAATCAAAGAAATAATTATTATTTTAATATCATACTTGATTATTAACCATGATTATAAAATTATATGATATAGTACTAGTATTCCTTTAGTAGCATTCTCTATGAGAACTTAAAACATTTTTAATTTATTATCAAAATGTAATGTATTAATGCTTATAAATTATAAATTATATTTTTTGAGTTTTTTAATATATATCTAACTATAATAAGATAATAATAACTCTTAAATTGTATATCTTACCGGGTAGATTCTTGTAATAATAAATGCGGTGGAACCCAAAATTTAACTCTAAGTGCAAAACGATACGGATGAACTCCAGCCACTTGATGTTCAATTAAATTTCTTAGATTCAACCAAACATCTTGCCCTTTGACAGTTTTGTACTGTAATCCAAAGTAATCACATTCTTTGTTGATGCCCAAACATTCACATACCTACAAGACATGAATGATTATATTATTAATTTCTATAAATGATAAAATTTACAAAATATTTTGACTCTTAAGGCTATCTATATATAGACATTTGAAATTTGAATTTTTTCTTCTATAAGTGACAATAAAAAATTATTCATAAGACCAATCAACTCTTGAAAATGTATTACAAACTACGATATAAGTTGTTAATAAACCTGTACAAAAATATAAAATATGAAGGCACAATTTTTTATATGCATTTGAAGTTTAAATTTTTCCAAGGTTTAGTTAGGTGTCAAAAGTTTTTTTACAAACACAATATTTTTTTTATAGACATATAAGTTTAAATTTAGACAAAATAACATAATTATTTTTTTATAATTCAAAAACATTATTAATTGTAAGGACTTAATATTTTTACGTACATGAATTATAAAATTTAATGTATTTACATTTTAATTACCTATTGTTTATTAATCCGAAGGTAGAAAGAGGTAGAACATAAGTTAAAAACAAAAATAAGTACCTATGTACCCATTTCATTCACATATAATGCATAGGTATTAATATTGTTGTTGATTGGTATAATGTCAATAATTAAGTATAAAATAATATTTAATTGTAACTAAATAATGATTAAATTAGAGTTTAAAGGTATATCACCAGTTTTAAATAATAAAAAATAAATATAATATGGAGTATAAAATCATATTAAATACACAGAACTCTTTATGGCTCAGTTGGTAGATACAGCCAATTTTAACTTTAAAGAACTATAATCAGTCATAGATAAAATAAAATGTCTGAAAAAATGTGGATAGATAATTTTTAATTTATTTACTAAAAATATTTAACACAATAATTTGCAATAAAAATAAACTGTAAAGTTTTTATTCATGTTATATAACCTCATCTACCAAACTCACTTAACCTAACCTCGAACAATACATATTTAAGTAATTAAACCTCATATTAACCTATAAAACAATTCATAATATTAAAATTAAAGCGTGAAAACTATACAAAGTACAAAATAAAATGTTTTAAAAGACAGATAAAATTTAATTTTTTTTCCTCGTTGAGATCATTATTATTCAGTTATTCTCATAAATGTTTTATCGAGCCATCAAAGACTTTCACTTACCAAGATATTGGATGCAAGAATAATCATTAAAATTTTAAAAAATGTTTTTAATTTGTTAAATACTACAATATTTTGATTTTGTATTTCATAAAAGAACTCAAACAGATCAGAACTAAAATTAATATTTTATCCAAATTGTATCGATTACTTTGATTAATTTTTGAAAAAAAAATAGGTAACTTGTACCTAGATTAGGTTCTGAGTTATTCACTGATTATATATCCTCACAAACTTAAATTATAAGGATTCAAATAACTATTATTTAAAATATAATTTCATGAATTACTATTTGTTGCAAGAACAATTTTTAATTAAATAAAAATACATTTGAAAGTATATTAGGTACATCATCATAAGGTTATCATACATTAACAACAAAATAACTTTTTATGTACATAGATAGTATACATCATTTTTAAAAGTAGAAATAATTTGGTCAAATTATATTTGTGATAAATATTTATGAAATGATTGGAACAAAAATGTAGAAAAAAACAATATAGTAGCAGCTCATTAATCGATTAATCTAATAAGTAGTAAAATATTTTAAAATTCTTGAGAAAAAAGATGTTTGCAGAACTAACTTTATTTTTTTTTTTATAATAGTGACTGGAAAGTACAAAACTCAATTAATTTAAAATGTCAGTAGGTCATATTAATATCAATTAGATAAATATATTTTTAAAATTAGGCTAATAGATACTGATTTATTTTCCTATGATAAAATTTTGTTAATATTGATTTCAAAATTAACATTTACCGCTAAGGCAATATTTTTTACCTCGTTTTCTTATAATTTATTTTTTTTATTAATTAATTAGGGTTAAATACATTTCAACAACCATAATAGATATAACGGCATCACTATTGTTGGTGTTATCACATTCATACATGTTTGTATTCATTAATTAAATTATAAATACACATAACAATATTAAATGATATAAATAACTGTCAAATGTGAAGAAATTATCAGAACACAAAAATAAATAATGAATTTAAATGTTTATATTTTTCTTTCCTTCCCTCTTATTATAGAGTTAAAGCTTTACCTAGCTTGCCTCGAACATCATTACATCACCAAATAATATTCTTAAATATTGTTTGTACAAAAACAAATGTAAGACAATAAATACCAGAGTTTATAACTGTCAATCGAGTAAAGCTGATAACTGTATACAAGCTAAATTCAATGTGTTTAGTTTTTACCTTCTCCAGGCATTCCAGACCTTTTGCTTTATGGTCTAGCCTGACTTCTATGACGACTGCGTTTGGCTGGCTCACTAAACACCACATTTTCACTTTTCATATTTCGCCTGGTAATCCGCGCAAATATCACTGCTGCTACGTTTGACGTTGGTCACCGCGATTAACAGCCACGGGTGTACAAGAATGGATAGGTACAGTCGCAACGGAGAGGGGGGAGGAAGCGATCACAACACTGTCGGCAAATCGATTTTTGATGATGAGACGAAGAAATCAAAACGTCAATCGCCGATCGTTAACGAAACTCGAAAAAAATAGTAATATAATAATATGAAACGAAACGTATTGCACAATTACTATTCCATTGACAACTCTGCTCACAGCGACATGCCACTGACCACACTGACCACAGTGTACGTCTCAGAGTTTAACAGAGGCATATTATTATTATCATTATTGTTGTGCGACGGCGGGGGGTCGCGAGCACGCGCGTACAGGGAACACGAATGGCGGACCGGGAAAAAAATTGGACGTGCCAAATAAAATTAAAAAAAAAAAAAAATTGAAAAACGAGAGCGCTATTTTAACTGTTTGTGGCTAATGTGATCAATAATTAGCATTGATCGAAAAAGAAAAGAAAATAAACCAATAATAGTTATTCAATATCCGACTACCAACAACACGCGCTTTGGCGTCGATCAGCTGCTGCTGCATAATTTGAACGACTCGACGGCTAAAATTAATGGTGGTGGCAGAAAAAGGAGGGGAATTGCTCGTGGATTATTATACGACTGCTGTACCGCTCTACGAAGTACGAGTTTACTATATTATAATAGTACTATAAAAACCTATACTACGCAACTACAGTGTTACTACCACTATGAGGGAACGGCGGACGTGTCATCGGCGGTTGAACGCGACCGCCAGAAGAGTGAACTTGTAGAAGTATAATAATAATAATAATAATAATATTATTATCAGCACTATAATAATATTATACCATAAGCCCCCCGCTCATCGTGCCCGATGACGATCGGCGGACGCGGTTGTCGCTTTTCGTTCTTTGTCCGGACGGAGTGGCACTGTTGCCATTACCGCTGCGGTACCACACGTTGCCGCGCAGCATCCCGAGCGATTTCTTTGGCGCAACGTAGCCATCATGGCCCATAGGTGCTCGTAGAAAACGCTGTCGTTTCGCAAGACGATAATATTGTTGTTACATTCGTTGTGTGTGACGTGTGTCCTATCAAAGCTTTCGTTATTTAGTACGTTGCGATTTCTTGATTTTTCACTTGGACATCGTCAACAAACACCCATGAATAATGTTTATTATTATTATTATATTCGCATTTAATAATGCCACGCGATTATTTTATTACGCAAGAGGTGAATTGAATATTAAATACCTTGTCAGGAGTTTTGAGCGAAGAAACCATCAACCAATGGAAGTTCACGATCGAACGATGTACCTATATAATTCGTAAACAAATACTAGTCTTGCAATAAATTAAAATTTATAATGAGATGGATTTTTCAGAATGTCTATAAGAGTCTTTTAGTATGCGTAGTATAGGTATCGTATATGGTATTCTCGGCAGCTCACGATGGTCACCGGTATTTAGTTCACGCGGCACATCCCTTGCTCGTTTCTAATTTTCTATTATACGTAGGTTAGTACCTGTACATGGTACATATTAATATATGTGTAAATTTTTCTTGACAGCTGGATCGTATGACGAAATTCATATTCGGCCGGCTAAATGCACACAAAAGTATAAAACTCTTTGGGTGTATATTTTATGATGTTATTTTCTCTTACGCTAATCACTAATCTGACCTCAAGTACACAACTGGGTCAATGCTGAAGCATCTATAATATTCATTATTATTTATTTGTTATATTAAAAATTTTTGAAAAAGCTACTCAAGTTATAGTTTATAGATCTAAAAATTCCACGATTACAAATAATTTAAAAAAATTATTATTTTATAACCCACTATTTTTAAATTTAAATTGAAAACTTTTAATGAAATTAATATTAAAATTTAAAAACTTTAGTAAAAATGCTTTCGTGTTCGTGGTAAAAATTTTATCTTTCATCCATCACTGTAACCTTCAAGACCGTAACTAGGGAGGGGCTAATGGAACATTTACCCCCAAATCTTTACATTACTAATTATTTATAATATAGTAACGTCGTAAAAATAGATTTTGAAAAAATCATTGATTCGTTTGCTTCTAAAAATTAAGGTGTTCAGATTTAAAAATTAAACTTGATTTTTATTAGTCTCATCAGTTAACATTTTTACTTATTTAATTCAATTTTTATTCAAAATTCTATAAGTCATGTTTTAATTTTTACTGATAAACCTATTTTTATTTCATACTTAAAAATAAGTTTGTTTCTTACTAAAAGTATATTTTATTACTGTAAAAATAGTAATAATAAAGTTAGTTCCTTCCCCCCCAACATTTTTTTTTTAATTAGGTACGATGTGTTGGTACTGGTAGAATTTAACAGTTATAATTAACGGTTCTTTTTTCACGTGAAATAGTTTTTCTAAGTAATTTTGTTATAACGAATTATACGAAACAACTATCAATGGTATGCTGGTCTCTGGCCCAATTGTAAGTTAATTAAAATTATTATTTAAATTTTAAGTATATCAAAACTCAATTTAAAAAGTTCCAATCAAGATTAATTCATTATCCAAATCCATTAACAGGAAACCAGCACACAGGCATACAGCCAATATTTCTAACAACACCTCCCCCAACATCTTAAGAGATGTTAGTATCGAGATCTTTTGGAATGAAAAGATTCCATCACTAAAATTTTAGTCGAATCACGTTGGATGGATCCTATTATTGGATAAACTATATAACTTCTCTGCTCACTTCCTTTAAGCCTCTAAGTTATATGTCTCCTATCATATATCAATCTATTCGCTTGTTGTATTTTTTGTTTATGTACAGATGATAGTAAATGTTATTTTTAAATAATAAAAAAATACCGTCTATATATTTATCTTAGAATTTTTAATTTTGATTTTTCTTGAAATTAAATTATTTTTATTAAGTTTCTTAAAATTTGAATCTGTGTGTCCTTAAAGGCTCTAAATATTATACACATATTTAACCATTAACTAAATAACAACTAACAAAATGTTTACAGTTTAACCAGCTAATAGGTAGTAGATGCTGACGTTACGCACGCGCTTTTGACAGACACTTGTTGTACACTTGTACATCTCTGTACAGCTGATGCAGTACAGTGGTTATAAAACAGGGATGGGCAACTGGCGGCCCGCGTATCTTTTTTATCTGGCCTGCGCTATATTTTCAAATTACTTTATATAATTTTAGCACTTATCTGTATTTTATTTTATTACATTTTTCGATAAAATGTGGATATAAATTCCTATCTAGTTTTAAACCGAAACTAAATTATTAAAGCGCTTAACAAATGAAACCTTGGGACATTTACTAAGAGTTTCAACTACAGAAATAGAAGTGGATTTTACTAAATTGTCTATTGAAAAACCTCATCCTCAAGTATCTCATTAAATAATAATTGTAAACATAAATAAATAAAGATAAAAAAATAAATGTTAGTATATTTGAAGGACCTTTTTTTTTTCTTCTCCTATGCACTGCGGGAGTTGCCCATCTCTGTTATAAAGTATAATGTATATATATTATATATAGATACTAGCTGAACTAGTCACGGGTTGCGGTGACTGTTATAAGTGTTATAATCCATTGAATTAATGCTACACTACACTATTAATACTAAGTTTTAATTTAAAATATGAAAATTTAATTTTATAAATGAGGTAGATAACGTTAATTTTTAACTATTTTAAACAATTATTTTTAATTTTAAAAATTTATAATGCAATTCATGACATCTTTAACCCGTCACCCATTATCAGTTGTTACCACAAAATCAAAATAATTAATTAATTAAGTTTGTGCGACTTTTTTAAAAAGTAGGTACCATCAAATTAAGCATGAAAAACACACATTTTGTAGAAAAAATTCCAAAAATTCGTTTAAGAGTTTAGCTGCATTCGTTCCAAAATTTGTTGGGTTGTATTAGAGCGCATTGGACGCAATCACGCTATACGCTTTATCATTATATTTAAAGATATTATATAATTTATATATTATATATAACGTACTGCAAAATATATGTTTACACTATACAATACTTTAATCCGTGCAAGGAGTGATTGGTGACTGATCACACGTGCACGTGACACACACCACTCGATCGTGAATCGTGATTTATAATTGGCGATGAGCGCCCCGAATCGATGTTCGAAGTGCACGCCTGTATTTCCACTGTAATCGCGTCGACAATTTTTTATCGAATGTACGTGTATGATAATTACTGTGCGTGATCAACGGAGTCCGGAATACGTGACTAAATTCAACGAGTTTCAATATTGTATTTCTAATATCTGTTAATATTTGTTGATATTTTAATATATTATTATTTACATATATAAATAGCCAATACCATAATTTAGCTATCTAGATTGTAGGCCTACTGAGTGACTAATGAGTAATGACTATAGCTATTTAGATAGCTAAATGAATTATTAGATAGATTATGTAATTAATAATGGTTATTAATATACCAAAAAAAAAAAAAAGAGGAAAAGTTAGTCACCATTCGGCAATTTTGCCGTAAAATTTATTGTATGTGTCCAGTGTATCTATACTCCATGATTGATTTCAAATCCAACATAAATATTGCATTAACTCAAACTTAATGACTATTGACGAATGACGAGATGTACTCGATATCTATTATACAACAAAACGATTACCTACTATTTACTTACTCGGCTTTTTTTTTTTAAATAAACATTTTGATTTTTAAGAAATTTATTATTACGATACCAATTGGAAGTTTTTGACAAATTGATTTTCTCATTTTGTTGTAATTAAAAAATATTTTTCATGGATACTTGAAACTTTTACGAGTATTATTATATTTTTTTTATTAGCGATGGAATTTGATTTTAAGCTATATATATTTCTTATATTAATATCACGATTCGCGAAACTACTTAAACTGTTTTAGGGTAAAAGTTTAACACAAATAATATATATAGAAAACGTTAGTATAAATATTTAAAGTTTCCACGATTATTCATTTATGTGCCTAAATTATAACAAAATAAGAAAATCGATTTTATTGAAAACTAAAATCGTAAATACGCCTCTGGCCTCTGCTTGTACTTATATAACTGTTTAAATGTTTAATAAATTTAGGCATTCATAAATTGCTCCCAAATGCTCTCTTTTTTTTGTAAACTGCGCCTAAAATTTTATCTATGTTAAAAAATCATTATGTAAACTACACCCGTCAACTTACGCTGTGCCCCGTTTGCATGGGGGGCATAGGTAGGAAATATTTTCGGAGAGGGTTTTGGGGTTTAGGTCAATACTAATATTATAAAACATTAACATTAAATATGAATTATTTATTCAGTTTTATCTTCAATTTTAGGGGGTGTTTGAACACCCAAAACCCCCTTTTACCTACGTCCATGCCCGTTTATAAAATATACAAAACTTTTGAATTATTTAAGTCTCAATGGTTGTGCACTTTTTCAATTATATCACAGATATTTTATTTTGTCTACAAATACCAATACGTTATCGAATAACTATTGCATTCTAAAACATAAAAAAAAAAAAAAAAAAAAACGTGAAAAGTTACAAAATTATTAATAAATAAAATAGTGGTTAAACTCCAATTAATGATTACGTAACAACAATATGTTATTATTTGTAATATTTCTAAATTCTAATTATTTCACTTTTTAAAATCATATATTTTTTTAAATTCTTGATTCAATTTTAATTTTAACTATTCATATTATATGGTTGTAATGAATTAAGTATACATTAAAGATTTTGCAAAAATAAAGTTGTTGATTTTTAAAATATTATCCGGGCGCAGTTTACATGACGTGTGATTTTGGTTTTATCTGTATTATGAACGCAGTATACAATCGCAGATAAATTTTATAAAATACATACCTATATTTTTCTATTTGAAATAGTACAAACTGTCTGTGGTTTTCCTTTTTATCTGCTTGACCTTATAAAGTGTCTACAGACTACAACCATAATAATATAATATTATACTGATTTCTTATTAATTTCGTAGTTCGTATATACACGGCCGATAAAATAGTTATAATTTACACAATAAATTTATTTTTGTACATACCACCCACACAGTCATACAGATATGGAGGCCTCTAGGTAGTGAAATGAGAATTTATGCTTCACTCTTCCTACACAATAATAGATAGAACACAGTAGAAAACCAAATATAGCTGCGTGTAGGTACATACCTTTTACTTATCTTATATATTATATATTTAGCCATTCCCGTTTGTGTTACAAACGTTGAATCGCTGAAATATTTTACAAATTTAGCGGAAGCTGAATACTACGACCATTACTACATAATAAAAATTATCACGTAAATACCTCAAACTAATCAGTAAATATTAAATAATTAACGAAATTAATTTAAAATATTTATGGAACTTAGCCAATTTACAAGTATACATTTTTAGTTTTACCTACGTGAAAAAGTACCTATTATAAATAATATATACTTAATATACAGGTTTATTAGTAGAAAATTTTTACTAGAGACAAAAATAAAATATCCTTTTGTAACAACGCCAATAAGTAAGTATTAAAATAATTTACGATTGTTGATTAGAGTGGATATTATTATATTTTATTAAGTTCTGAGTAATTTGGATTTTTTTCCAAACTCGTGATTAGTGAAAGTAGTTTGTAATACTTTTCCAATATCGTAAGTATAATTGTTATTTAATTTTTTTTAGGTTAGTACAATTTTAAAGCTTTTAAATTTCTTTCTCTCTAGAAGAATAACTTGAAAATGAATACTTTTTAATTTCAATGATCTATAAAACGAATTGTTTACGGCGTACATCATCAGTACTATTTAGCGACAGAAATGAGTTAAGTATAATTATTATTTTATCTGTTATTATAATAAATTAGCATTCAACACACAATCAATTTTAAAAACAGTTATTTTTAGGACCCGATACCAATAATATACTATAAATTCATATAGAGTTACGTTAATTTGATTTTTGATATAATTTATGAATTATATAATGGAACGCAAATTCCAGTAATATCATTGATTATTGATTATGTTAATTAAATGTCTTTACACACGTTCGACTTTCAACAAAAATACAATGACTATCAAATTTAAAATTTACCACTAATATTAAATATTTATTGAGGGTAAATAATCATAATAATCATTGTGCATTTTATTTTCAATATTATAATAAGACTATAACACCAATAGATTTTGAAATATTATTCCATTAGAGAAATATAAATTTTAATCTCGGCAAGTAATATGAAAACTTCAAAACTCTAATACGGTGGATGTGGTTTTCAATGTTTTCAACCTTTTTAATAATGCAGCACACTTCATCTCCTAAAATATTTTCACGACACACCAATCTATACGATTAATAATTTAGCTTATTATTATGTTTGTTCATCAGTTTTTACTTTTTACCGAATATCGATAATAATACTGGTAAATACATACCTACTTCTAAAACTATTAATAGTTATTGCGGCCCATCTGCGTAACTATTGCTCTAATATCTATTTATTCGTTATTTTTTTTTAATTAAAAATTACACGATATTAGAGAATGACTGAAGCCTGAACTTAAATAAAATATGTCCAAATAGTACCTATGTATTACTTAAATATTAAACCATTGTAATTTTAATATGTACAAGGTAACAGAAAAAATAGAAAAAAACAGTTTTGTTTACATTTAATCGAGATACTAATAGTAAGTTAGTATTATATACACGCTGAAAAAAATTGATTTTGCCAGTTTGTTTTTTTTCTTATTTCTATTATGTCAATAATTGACAATTATTGTCACTTAAATGTAAACTAAACAGGAAAGTTGGACAATTTTATATCATTGTATATTTACATGTTAAAAAGTATCATTAGTATCAATGATATTAACTATATTTTACCATTAGTTTGGTTTGTTTTTGTTATGATCAAATATATATATATATATACTTTAATTTTACACTATAAAACATCAAAATATTGATTATCATTAATCATAAATCATAATTTACACATAATATATATTTATTTTTCTAATATTTTCTTAAACATAACAATCTGATCTTATGCAGAATTAAATATTATTTATAAATTATTAAATTGAAACATACTTATACAAGAATACAAATGTAATAAGGATAAGGACTTCAAAATGTTGTGGTGGGTAACAAAAACTTTTTTATTTTCAAGCGATATGAGAGTAAACTACAACTATATAAATAATAACAAACAAAAAATTCTAACATACAGAACAACACAACCATGGATCAAGGGACTAAATAAATTTAAAAAAAAAATATCTTTAAAAATATAAATTAATACTTCTAATGCATTTAACTTCTTCTTTATAATAGCATATTCATTTATTCACTAAGAATATAGACAAATATTCATGAGTAAAATAGCACTGTTTACAAAATTAAAATTTCTAAGGGTATGAATTATATTTTTTAGATAAATTTGTAATTGTGCGTCTCAAATGCAAATTTCTTCTTTTTTTCTTCCTTTAGAGTTTTAGGTATAACTACCTAAGTTAGCATAACTGCTATACGTTAATTTAATGGAATTTCAGAAATTTATGAAATCGTACAAAATATTTAGACATGAATAATTTGATAAGCTTAGACAAATTATTCCAAATATTGATGAAAATAAATAGATCAAAATTAACCATATAATGCCAGATTGAACAATTGATATTGCCAATCCAGGAACTTTTAATAAACTATATTTTTCAATAATAACATTAAAATATATATTTATTTTATTCAGTAATATGCTTTATAAAATATATTAAAAATGTATAATATTTAGTATTTTAAGGGAACACAGTTTTAAAATTATTGAAAAATAATTATCAAGATTTTAAATGATGTGCAATCAATTGACCTTTTTAAATATTGTCCATAAATAAGTTCAAAAGACATTTCTTAATAAAATGTAAAGTTATCTTTCAACACTGTAAATGGGATATCTAATTTTGAAATGATGTTGAGCAATGAATTTTTTCAGAATTTAGACCAACAACATTGAATAAAATTGTATTCTACGCAAAAATATTTTTTATTTTTAAGATTTGTATTATTGCCTTTAATATCATTAATTACTTAAGATGCACAAATAACAGGGTTGCCATATTTTAATAGTGTAAAATAAGGATAATATTTGTATCAATATCAATAAAAATCTCTTCATTAATTTCATTAGAAATATTTGCCAAATGCAATGAATATAAATTCTACACACACTTTTATACACATTAAAATATGAAAAAAACCCAGAAATAAACACCAGATTAAAACAAATTTAATTAAATACATAATTTTTTTCCAAGAATAAACAAGTGTCACAAAAAATACATACTCTTTAGATCATATGAAAATAAGTATAAATGGTTTTTTGAAAAAAAAAAAACAGTTTCATGAATAACTGATCATAATCTATTCAAACAAACAATAGATCAGGTTAAATAGGATGTATGGCAACCCTACAAATTTATAAATTAATGTCAAGATTTAGTCAAAATGTAAAAAAAAAAAAATTGCACAAGAATATTAAATGGTGACATACATTAATATTGATCTAAATACAATTTAAGATAATTTATATAAACTGCAGTACACAGACCCTGCATTAAATTTATTATAATTCAAACGATCAAATTTATATTTAAAATTGTTGATTTTCAAATCATTTAAAATGTGGTACGGGCAAGGGTAAATATATGAATTATACAGTTCAATAGTTGAATCATTAAAAATCTTTTATGATACTTATGAATAAGATAATCATTAAAATTTAGTAAGATAACACTAAAATTAACATAAATGATATAATTTAAGCCAGAAAAATAACATGACAATAAGTAGAATATTTTTGAAGATGATAATACCATAATTTTGCAACAAAAAAATATACTTAATTAAAATATACATTTTAAGCGTTTGTATGGTTGTATTCAATCTATTTGATACAAATTGTGCTTGTTATATTATAATGGTATATTTATAATGATTAGTTGAATAATCGTGAAGCCGATAGCGAGACTAAAGATCCATATTAATACATCAATTATATTTAATTTTTTCAATCATAATTCCATTTATACTACTTTCAACTTTCAAAACAAGTATAGCTCACGATAGTTTAGAATAACTCGGTGGTGAAAATTTTTTCCTTAAGAATTTTAGAATGTATAATGGTAAACAGCTGACCAGTGTAATCACAGTGACTTTCCATAGGAATGATTCGGTTTGAATGAAATGAGAATCTAAAAAAAAAAAAACAAAAAATAGTACTGTTAGTAATAAAATGAAAGTTAAATTTTTGCTTATTACAAAAAAGTTCCATTATAATGTTTTTTAGTAAAGTATTTGACTGGTTAGGATGTAATAATTTTATTTGTATACAAAAGTACTAGTATTACATTCACTAATACATTCTTTAGTGATAACTCAATTTTTATTTTGATAAACTTGTATAATTTTAAATATCGTTTAATGAAATAATTCATTATCTATTATATATTTATAAAAAATACAATTTAAATGAATTTGATTGGAATATATAGTTTTTAATTTAATGCTATTTTTGTAATTGTTAAATAACCATGCACAGTAACTGCATTTTAGTTACTGTTCTGGTTTCAATCTGTATATGTTTAAAAAGTCTGATATAAACACTATTCTTTTGTTATAACTTAAATTAATTTTTAGAAAATTTTATATAAAATTGGTGATCTAGAAATTTTGCTGGTGTTTAGGAAAATTAGCTAGAGTACATTTAACCTAATTTGTATGAAAATTATGCAGATTTGAACATTTATAATGCTAACAGATCCTAATTTTTAAGTAAATCAATTGTTACATTTAAAAATATATATTATTTATGTTTTTTTTATGTAGTCCATATTTCCTATGTAATGTGATTTTTTAGGAACTTTGAAGACTTATAAGTAAATTTATCAGTATTTATTTTAAGTTATTAAAAATAATATATACTAACCAAAATAATCTTTAAGTAAGATTAATGATAAAATATAAACAGCTAAACTAAAAAGTTCAGCCAATAGCATTAAATAGTGCCAAGTGCGCACTGTCAATGCAACCATGATTAGTTCAGTGAGAATTAAAGCAGTGAAACTGATGGCAACAATGTGAATAAATTCATCTTCAAATAGAAATAATGCTCCGTACATTATTACACCACCTACCAAAATACAGAAAAAGTTTGTGAAATTGTATTCAAGTATTTTATGTATATATTAAATTTAGGTTTACCTTGATAAATGCTTATTAAAACCCAAATGAAAAATGTTTTATATGATAATGACCGCCCTTTACTCAGTTCTTTGTAAAGTTCAGGGTAAGTTAATGCAATTTTAGACAATACATCCTTATCAAGTACTAAAGAAAATACAGGGAACATTGTGTACAGCGTTGCATACCTGAAATAAATAAGTTAGTTAATTAATAGATTCTTATAGGTAATTAACTTACAATTGCAGAACCTATATTTAGTATTAAACACTTTTTAGTATAGAATCAAACCTTGAGTTCAGAAGCTTTGCCATTTTTATTTAAATATATTTAACAAATTTCAATTTTTTATTCATAGTAATTAATAATTTTACAGTATAATTTCTAACTACTTTTAGTAACTATAAAGAATTTTGTCTTACACATGGTGTAACATGCATAACTCAAAATTAAGTCCTATAAAATTTCAATCTTACCCAATCATAAGGAACCCTTGATACAGTGTTACTGATGAGAAATAAAATACAGCCGAAAATATTGCTTGCATAGTAGATATAATAAGACCTCTATGGATGACAAATTGGCTAAGTGAGGCAGATCTTTTATAACTATATCGACCATGTACCATAAGTAGTCTTGAAAGGTGTGAAAATTGTGGTACTGAAAAGTCTGCAGCTAAAGATGCTTGTCGACCTTCTACTCCAGCAATACCAATGCCTAAAATTAAAAATATAAGTGTTTAATCTCTGCTTATAATAAATTTTAACACTGAATAATTATTAACAAATTAATTTATACCAGTGTCAGCTGCCTGAATCATTGAAACATCATTTCCTCCATCACCAACAGCAGCAGTTCTTTTTCCAGTATGTGCTTTAATAAGAGTGACAATTTGTGCTTTTTGGGTTGGAGAACATCGACAGCAAATTACAGCTGGACTACGGCAGGCAACATCTAATAATTCTGTTTGATAATATTGTAGACATATCTTAAAATAAAAATAGAAGTTAACATAAAGCATGAAAATAAAATTATGAATTTCTTATCATTAAATATACTTCTAATGAATCTCCAGTAATGACAAGAGCGCAATCTTGTTTTTTCCTAAATGCATTTAATTGCTGATGTGCTTCAGTTCTTGTATGCACTGGATTAAAAATAAATAATTCCTGAGTTCTTGAAACAAGACGAGAACTTTTAGCAATACAAGTGGCTGTTTCTTGCTTATCTCCAGTTAACATCCATATCTAATAAGGCGTAAATTTATATAGTATGAGATTATATTTTATTAAAATTTCTCTTACTTTAATTCCAGCATTGCCCAAGAGTTCTAAAGTTCTACGAACATTAACTTGAAGTTTATCTTCCACTCCTGTTACACACAATAACTCCATTTCACGTTCTAGAGTGTCTACAACGGTTGCTACTCGTTGAGCACGACCTGTCACAGCTAACCTTGCTGAATTTAAACGAGACTGAACAAATAAATAAAACATAACATTTAGTATTCAAATCATAATTTTGGATTATAGATAAACAATAGTTACTTCAAATTCTAAATACTGTTCTTCAGTTAAATTTTTTCGAGCTACAACCAATGTACGTAAACCTTCTCGTGCCATATTTCCACATTCTTCTTCCAACCAGTCTGTATATTGAACGATAGATGACATAACTACATCTGCTCCTTTTAAATAGAATGTTATATCTCCAGAAGCTACATCTTTAACAATTATTCCCATGCGTTTAGTTTCTGATGTGAATGGAAACATTTGTAATATTGTATAATTAAGTATATCTCCAGCAGATGTACGTAATTTAAGTGATGTCAAATCTCTCTTGATTACAGCCAAGCCTACATCTTCAGTCCATTTTACTAAAGCAATCTGTGACAATTATAAAACAATTTTTTTTTTTTAAATTATGACATTTTAAAATATAAACAAATATAACTGTATACCTCGTCAGGACTAGAAGCTTGATAGGTACACTGTGAACGAGAAAGTAGACTTTCTTTAATATAGTGCTGATCAGCTTCAGATCTGAGTTCTACAGGACTATCAGTACTAAAATCAAACATTAAACATATATATATATATACATATATTTTTAATGTAACATTAATTTCAATTATTTATCAAATACTATATAAAAACTAACATATTGCCTTGTACATTATTCTCAATAACTGGAGTCACATTATGACACAGTGCTATAGCTTTAACAGCATCGTGAAGACGAGTTTGCTCAGAACGTCTTATTTTAAATGATGTAGATCCCTGAGACAAATTACGATTATGCGTAGGCTCAACTGCTCCACAGAAGGTCATTTTTAGTTGTTCAGCAACCTACAACAATTGTTAATATGATATATAAATAAAAATTATTTATAGAAGTGTAAATAAATTTATCTTACCTGATCAAAAGACTCAGCACCATAAGAAACAGTTCCTAAATGAAGTCGTTTAAATACCATTGAATTTTGAGTAAGTGTCCCAGTTTTATCTGAAAATAAGTATGATATTCGTCCCAGTTCTTCTGGAATTGTCGTACATCTAACTACAGTATCTGGCATTTCTTCATCTCTTTGCATAGACCAAGAATAGAATGCTTTACCCATATCCAAATTTACCCTCAAACTAAATAATACAAAAAAGACAGATAAATAATTATTTTTCTTCATATAAATAAAGTTTTATAAATTAACCTGATTGGTATAATGTAGGAAAATAGTAATACAAATCGGAACATGTAACGATACCACGGACCACTGAAACCTTTTAAGCACATCATTACGAAGGCTAGACCAACTACAGCACAAAATAGAAGCTGAAATGTAATTTGAAAAAAAATTAAAAAAAAAAAAAATTAACAATGTACATAAACAAAATCCTAACACTACCTTTGTTAACTGATTAATTTCAATATCTAAGAGTCCAACTTTACTTCGAGGCTGAGAATTATTCATAACAGATCTGGTTTCAGCACCAGTATAAACAACAGCACCAAGTGCTGAACCATTAGCTACAACACAATTAGCCCATAATGTATTTTCTACATCAAGACTCACTTCTTCCCCATTATCTTGCTAAATAATAAATTATAAATAATTAATGATTTAAAATAATAATAGAATAATAAATTCTTTCTTTTACTCTTCTAAATGTTCCTATGAAACTGTGAATATCTCTTTGAGGTTTTTCTGCAAAAATAGTAGCCGTAATATCAAACAAACGCGCATCACAATCTAATTTTTGAGTATCTCCAATAGCCAGGCGTAATTTCCAATCAGTTTCACCATCCATTTGATCAGTTCGTACAAAACAAGCACCGGATTTCTCAGTAGTTCTTAATAACACCATATCAGCTGGGACTCTTTGATCTTTTTCTACCAGTACCTAATGATTAAATTTAATAAATCTTAACACATTTTTAACTATATTTTAAAATAATTAATGATAACAAAACTTACTAAGTCTCCAACTTTGAGTTTAGATGATGATACATACTCAGTACCAATATTGTGATCTTTACCACGTATTAGACGTTTGTATTTTTGAGAGTTTACTTCTTCATCTCGTTGCCATCTTCGAATATCATCAACACCTTCACGAAATAATGTGACAGCCAATACAAATATCTATAACATTAAATAACATTAATTAAGAATTGATAATTTTTTTTTTAAATTTTAAATACCAGTGGTCCCCAATATGTGTAGAGATATCCTAATCGTAGTTCAGGTACAAATTGACTCATAGCCATTAGAAGAAAATAAAGATTCAAAAAGAATTTGAACTGTTGATAGAGAACCTGGAAATATATTTTAATTATTATTTTAATTGATAAGTCAATATTCAAGTATAGTTTCAAACCTTTGGGAGGAATGTGATTATAGTGTACTTTTGATTGCGAATGACATTTGGAGAATACTTTTCGGTACTTTGTTTTCCAATGACAATAGTTCGCGAAGTAAGTTCCTTCTTGCGGAAACATTTTTGCCAAACCCATTGACAAAATCTGTTAAAAAAATGTATATCTAACAATACTCTACGTTGCATACATTTAATTAAATAATAATATCCATACACATTTCAATTAACATATTTTACAGTCTAAGACGATCATTCAGGCATTGATGATAATAACTGGTCAATATTTTACTATCTAGTTAAGTTGTTAATTAATGATACTAGTTATTTGTTAAGGTTTCTAATACTTTCAAAAAGTTTGATAATATTGTAGCTAGGTAATTGTAAGTATTCATGTATTGGATTTGTTCTTTGATAATAATTTTTTGGTCCACTTTATAAAATTATACTGAAATTTAAATTAAATGAGCTCAAAATCCATTCTCTATGATGAGAAAAAAGTGATAATTAAATTTCTTTTAAAATTATGAGTCACAATGGATAAAAAATATTGATTTTTAAATTAAACCAAGATATATAAGTTGATTGACTACAAAAATATAAATTAATGATATAATTGCTTTTAACTATAAGAAAATATTACTTTGGTCTAATGCAATTTTAGATGGTTTATAAAATAAAATAGATATAAAAATATAAATTATGTCAAAAACATCATAATTAATAATAGCTTAAAATTAACATTGATTAAATAACTGATAATGAAAAATGACCAATTATTATCACATTTAGTAATCCCAATAAAAATCTATTGAAAATTTCCAAAATTGTTTTGTTTTATTTATTTTTTTTAAACTTAAAAAATTAAAAATTGAAGTAAGACAAAATATTTATTTTACATAAATATAATACAAGAAAAATTCAGTCACAAATATCATCTTGAATATTATTTAATACAGTAAAACCAAAAATAAATAAATAGATATAAAATATAAGTATGCACAAATATTCATTACTAACTTAAAACATTGATTCATTAAGTAAATGCTCTTTTAACTGTAAAATTCTAGTAAATCCAAATAGGTCAAATGTATTTTTATGTATCATACGTTTTTAAGTATTTTGTTGCTAGTCCTATTTATCATTATCATTTTTAAATCTTCATGTATTTTATTATGAAATTAATGTAAAATTGCCCATATTAAATACAATACATGCAAGAAGCTAAATTACATAAAAGCTAAGCAATTAATTAAATACACTCAAATAAGTGGAGGTTTAATACAAAATAAGCAAATATATTTATATAGATATTAAAAACAAATTACTATATTCTAATACATTAATTATCTATAAGCTCGATGTGTTATAGTCAAAAACACGCTATCACTTCAATTATAAAATTAAATTAATAACATGAAGTAAAAAATGTATTTCAGTATAGCAATTTTTCTTTTTAAAATTTAAATTTAACATAATATATGTAAGTCTTGGTGTTAGTCGTGTTTAATATGAGATTAGGTTAGGTTCACCTAACCTTAAACAGCCGACTACAAAACAAAATAATTAAAAAAGGGTGAGCTATAATTTTTTTTTTAAACTAATTAAAATTTAAACTGTCTAAAACGCAAACATTTTTATGTTTATAATTAAACATTACAAAAAAAATATGGATATATATTTCAATTTAATAAATAGGTAGAGAAACAACAGTTTGATAATTTTTATAAATTATAAAATAGATAATGTATTTAAATTTAATAATCATAAAATGAAAGGAAATGTTTATAAAATTTATTTATTAAGAATATGTACAATAATTTTAATCTACAAATTATACTATTATAAAACAGTATAAATACCTAGCACATATTTTGAATACATATATCAATCTATAATTCAACTTTTATATTACATCCCATCTAAAAGAAATAAAGGTTCTTATTAAATAATGATGGTTTAAAAAAAATGCAAACTATACTGTTAAAGAATATTTAAAAATAAAATTTATCTAAATGGGTAATAAATTTAAACATAAATTTCAACAATAAAAGAAATATTTTTAGAATTTGCTCACCCTTTTTGATATTTGTTAGCCCAGCTAGGTCTTGACATACCTAACTTAAAATTTATAGTTAGGCTATTATAATATTATATTAGTAAAAAAAAAACCAAATTGGGATCCTACCTTAATTTACTTTTTTTCTCTTCTGTCATGACTGTAAAAATATAAACAGGCAGGAGAATGTGTCACAATCTGAAATAATAGGACACAAACTCCATGAAATACGACAAACTTGTCAAAGCACTATAATGGCTTGGGTACTTTTGTCATACTTTTAAAATAAAATGGAAAAACAAAATTAATTTAATGGATTTTCAGTGATTTTGTAATATTTATTTAAAAAAAAAAACCCCAATAATTAACCTAAAAATTCTTTTAACTTAATAAAAATAAGTTTAATATTAAAACCATAATATTGTGGATTTTAAAAAGTTGAATATCAAGCACTTGGATGAGGTCTCTTTTGGAATAAGAAAACACACAATAATAAAATATATATAACTCATGCGGCATAACTTTATTATTTATATTTTATAATAAATACCAAGTTGACTAATTTATAAAATTTAACCAGGTAAAAGAAACATGCAACAAAATTTGCAGGGTCACTCAAAAAAAAAAATAAATATTTTAAGAGCTAAAATTAAAACTTTATAAAACCAAAGAATAAATATCATCATCAAATGTATTTAAATGTAAAAGAAAAAGATTATGTAAATAAAATAAAATGTCATTATAATATTTTATTCCTTATTTTAATATTTACATCTATGTTCATAAGTGCCTTAATGATTTTTTCAACCAGTCTGGTAGGAATAATAAAAATATGATTATCTCTAGGCATAAATTATGAATATTTATAATTGACATTTATTATTGATATATATACGCACACCAAGTTATTATAAATATATGTTTTAAATGTTTCTAATTTCTATTAAAAGGACGTAACAGTATGTTGTCTTTGCTTAACCATCATGGCAAATTGTACGTTATGAAGAATCAGTTTAAATCTTTTATTATTATGACTATGTAAGAGAGAATTGATCTATTATTAAATTTTAAGACAAGAATATTATCTAGGGTGATTCATGAGTTTTTTTTTTTATACCTTAATTTAAAAGCAAGTTATGAGTATTTTAAAATTATAAATATTTTGTACATTTTAAAATGCTTACAACTTGTTTCAAAATCAAAATATAAAAAAAAACTTATTACTACATAGTAAACATATTATAAAATTGATAATAGATCAATTCACTCTAATATTAAAAATGACAAAGTAAAATTAATTCTTATTTTTACTATGTAAGTAAGACAGAGATGCAAGTACTATGTCCTGATATTGGTTTTACGGCTTTATACATTTTGCCAAATATCTAATGTTTACTAAACTTCATTATATTCAAGAATAAATTGAACAATATACAAAAAATGGTCTTGGTAGCACAACCTTTATAAAGAACAATAGTAACTACCCGAAAGCACCAAAAAGTCCCAATGCCATTGTCCATGCGCTCAAGGCAATTATTAACTTTTATTTATTATTTAATGTATTATAATGTGACTATTATTATTTTAAATCATTTTCTAATTTAAACATAATTCTCTCTCACTATTATATATATATATATAGTTTTTATACTTAAATTCTGATCAAATGAAATTTTTTCTTTGTAATTATTATCTACTCTCGTGTACACTATGTACAACTAGAGAAAAACAAATATATTTTTAAACTTTTTTATTCATATTGTATATTTGAAATTTTTCCTACATTTTAATATGAATTTTAAACTGATTATACAACAATCCCTATTATCAATAATAATACACTAATTAAAATATACTTATAATATTCAGTAAAACTAATTCAAAACTTACTATCAAGTTAAAATTCAATAATTGAATAATTAATTTGAAGTGTTTTCTAAATATTATTCCTATAATCATTAGTTAAAAATATGGTTCCTATATTAATGCTCTAGAATGCTGTGTACTACTGAATATTATACATAAAGTAAATTTTATTAAGATAAGTACCTACAAATCTATAATGTTACTATTTTCTTGATACCCATATTATAATCATAAAATATTATATTGTACAACGTATGCTGTATAATAAAATAACAAAAATAAGAACCTATTTTGATTTTTGTTCTATAAAAGCTTGTAAAAATGTATCTAAAAATATGTGTGGGAAATAAGATTTAAATAATTAGTAGATAAGAAGAAAAACAATTAAATTTGTTGAAATAGTTATAAAAGATAGATGTTTATATAATATATTAAAATGATTATATCTATGTAACATTAAGATTTGATAAATTTAAATTTAATGTTACCTATATGGATTAATCTATAATACACTGCATACTTATAAGTAATAATATTAAATATGTAGGTACATATTACACATACATTGTACATACATTAACTTATTTTAAGTATGACTGAACTATTTGATAATTTTTCAAATGTAAAAATAAAAAAATCTATAAAATAGGATTTGAACATTTAATTTTATAAAATATTTAACTATTATAATTTGCTTAAAAATATATAGGTAGTATAAAATAGGCAAAATATTACTGTTTATTGATTAATTTTATAAATATTTTACAAATCAACACATTTAGTGGACTTAAGTATCAAACTATAAAATTAATTTAACATTATTATTAAGAATAAAGACTTAACATGCTTATGTCAAAAGTAACGTCATAGATTTATAGGTAGATACAACATTTTAAATTGTATATCTATATCTCTAGATTAATCTAGATTTAATTTTCTTAGTTTTAGTCTAAAATATGTGCTTCACAAACAGAAATTCAAAATATGAAGACAAATATGTGACTATTCTGAGGACATAATTAATATTATGATTAACAAAGTATAAAGGGAAAAAAAGAATTCAATATTAAAACTATAATGACTGATGTCAGTCTAGTAGTCAAAAAGTGGAAAGTAATTTTTTTTAAATCACTATAGGTGATTTAGATACTAAAATATGGAACGGTTAGTAATATATATATTAGTTTATAGGTACATACTAATTATTAGTATGTACCTATAAA